CATGCTTCCTTCTGAATCAGCATGGAACCAAAGCCCCAGCATAGCATAGGCGGAAATTTGCTGTTACAGATACAGTTGCTCAGGTGAGACATAATAGGGATCCGAGGTACTTGACATTGTCTCATTTTTAAGAGTGTTAACCCTAATGGACAGGCTGCTCAAACTCCTAACTCATGCAATAACATTGTTTCTCTGATTGCCCCCCTGCAGTTGGAGAGGGTATTCTCTACTTCCTTTCCTAAACTGTAACATGTATTGTTTGTCGGTTCTATGAACCAACTTTGATCCCTACTCTATATTTCACGAGGGCTTTGCCTGCTTTTAAGTGACTCAAGCAATGGCTTTCTGATGCACTAGGTCTGTCTTTGCTATGACAAAGCATCCACAAAGTCATACTAAAGCCAGTGAGAGTCCCTTACAAGTTCAAACTACAACACAGCGAAGATTAAAGATGTCACACCTCAGCTACCTTTATATTCCTGCTATAGACATACACACACACAAACAGTGAAGAATGTGGAGAAGGAAAGTGATGTTTTACTCAAGCTCCTTTCATAATCCAAGAATTGATGGATTGTCAGCTAAACAGATCAGCTGTGATGTTGTTCACACTGACACTTACGCTGCCATTGTTAAGTTTCAGGGTTAACGTCACAATGAAAGAAATGAGGCCAGTCACAAAGCTTTTGCCAGATGGTAAGATAGCCCTCTGTCTACTTGTGTTCAGAAGCTTCTCTTTACAAACACAGGTGCTGAAATACAGATTCAAGTGCCCAGATAACTAGCCTGATTTTCAGAGGTGCAGGGCTGCACCTCTCATGGACTTAACATATTAAGAATACAACGACTTCAGTGGGAGCTGCAGCTACTCAGCACCTCAGAAAAAAAAATCAGACCACTAAAATGCCTAAATTTGTATTTAGGTGCCTAACCTGAGACACCCAAGTTGGAAAATTTTGGTCTGCACAAATTCTGCATTAATGATCTGGAATGGATGATGGGATGGATTGCACCCTCAGCAAGTTCGTGGATGACACTACGCTGGAGGGAGAAGTAGAATATGCTGGCAGGTAGGGATAGGGTCCAGAGTGACCTAGACAAATTGGAGGATTGGGCCAAAAGAAATCTGATGAGGTTCAACAAGGACAAGTGCAGAGTCCTGCACTTCGGTTGGAAGAATCCCATGCACCTCTACAGGCTGGGGCCCGACTGGCTGAGCAGCGGTTCTGCAGGAAAAGGACCTGGGGATTACAGTGGACGAGAAGCTGGATATGAGTCAACAGTGTGCCCTTGTTGCCAAGAAGGCCAATGGCATATTGGGCTGCATTAGTAGGAGCGTTGCCAGCAGATCGAGGGAAGTGATTGTTCCCCTCTATTTGGCACTGGTGAGGCCACATCTGGAGCATTGCGTTCAGTTTTGGGCCCCCCCACCCCCACACTAAAGAAAGGATGTGGACAAATTGGAGAGTCCAGTGGAGAACAATGTAAATGATCAGGGTGCTGGGGCCCATGACTTATGAGGAGAGGCTGAGGGAACTGGGCTTATTTAGTCTGCAGAAGAGAAGAGGGAGGGGGGATTTGATAGCAGCCTTCAACTACCTGAAGGGGGGTTCCAAAGAGGATGGAGCTCGGCTGTTCTCAGTGGTGGCAGATGACAGAACAAGGAGCAATGGTCTCAAGTTGCAGTAGGGGAGGTCTAGGTTGTAGATTAGGAAAAACTTTTTCACTAGGAGGGTGGTGAAGCACTGGAATGGGTTACCTTGGGAGGTGGTGGAATCTCCATCCTTAGAGGTTTTTAAGGCTCGGCTTGACAAAGCCCTGGCTGGGATGATTTAGTTGCTGTTGGTCCTGCTTTGAGCAGGAGATTGGACTACATCACCTCCTGAGGTCTCTTCCCATGCTAAACTTCTATGATTCTATAAATCCCTTGGGCCACCCGCAAAGGGCTAGACAAGCATATGAGCCAAGTGTGAGTTCAATCAGATCCCTGCATAGTTCAGTGATTTATTCCATTTTGTCTTCCCCAGGCTGGATTCTTGTGTTTTATTTCTTCCCAAGAACCTTTAACAAGTTGTACCTAGAATGGCAGCATCACAGCTGGGGCTTGTCTTCCCCGCAGTTAGCTCAAGTCCCATCCACACACAAAAACCCTGGAGCGAGGTGGTGCTTTTAGACACAGCCACAGACTGCAGTGTGCGCTAAGGAGCTAAGGCTTAGCATGATCTCTCTAGTATATGCTCAACGCTTCTGACAACTTCCTAGGACACGAGACGAAGGAGATTCTAGAAGGCTAAAAAACCCCAACCCTGCGATTAACTGTTAGGCTAAAGTCAAGGCCTTTAGTTTGGAAGTTTCTTAATGTCAGAGAATACCCTGACCAGTTTTTAACAGGAGTGGGTGTTTGAGAGGTGGGGGGAAATTATTTGGACAACTAGCCTGGCTGAGATGCTCCACGTTTGGCACCAAGACAGTTGAGGTCAGAAGCAGAGTAGCAGGCATGGCCTGTTCCCAGAGGGGCTGCAGGCATCGGTTTCTTGGATGTCATGCTTACTTTGGAAACCCAGCATTTTCCACTTACAGTCAACAGTGTGGTAATTGAGAAGTTCTGTGTAAGCAGAAAGCTCCCCTGAACAGAAAGGAAAATGGGGCTCTAATTGCAGGGCTTGCTCCGTGACTATTTCATTACGACTGTGAGATCTCTTGAAAGCTGTTACAGAGGGGACCATTTTTCAAGGCACCCCAAGCTGTGTTTAAAAAACATGCAGACTAAAAGAGAAACAGCAGAAATGAAAAACCCAAGCCCATGTTTCTGATCTAGCTAAAAGCTGAAAGTGGCATAAACAACCCCATGCAATGGATGTACATAGCAGTACAGTTATACATCTGCCAAACTCTGAGGGGACAGAGGTTCATGGTAGAGTGTGTGTGTGTTGCAGGAAACTACTTACAGAAGGGCCTATGGGTCACTACTCCCACCACACCTTTCTGCACAGCACACCCACATACCACCCTGTAACTTACACCATCATTCCCATCACTTCTTGCTCTGGCCCAAAAGGTGAAAAGTTCTCTATGTCAGGGTAGAGTACATTAGGAAAAAGCAATAAGACTTGTTCCCTGGAGCAGCCCTGAGACATCTTGTGTGGGATTCCAGCACAACAGTGATTCACTTAAACACCAGAACAGTTCACCACAGTGCGGTGGTACCCATAGAAACTGTCCTATATAGCTGACCAATTGTCTCACTGCTTTTGGATCTCCAAAAATTTGATCTGCTTGTTTTTTTGTCTTCCCCCCATTCTCCAGCTTAATCACTCTAGTTTGTTTTATGTAACTCAGTTTGGGGTTTGCACTGGTAAAGTTAATCTTGCAAAGGTGACACATTTTACCAACACCAGCTGAAGTGGGTGTAGTTTACAGGAAGGGACGTTTCAATGTAGAGGCTCACAGAAGCTAGAGATAAGCAGTATGCCCCATTATAATTTTTCACTGTAAGTACAGCATATAGCTTCCCCCCAGAAGACATCTGGTAGTAGTTATCCTTACAGAGAGCCCTTCTGGGAACCTCTCTAGACTAGAAGAGCTAACAATGCTTGTGTTTAACCTTCAGGAGTTTGAGCTTTGATGAGTTGATAGGTAGAAATAGTACTGGTTTTCTACCTATTTGTAAGGGCACTAGATTTAGGTGCCAGAATTCTAATCAACCCTGTGCTTGGACTACCAGTCATTTATTTCTCAGCACCTCAGTTTCCTCTAGCTGAGAAATGGGGATAACTTGCCTCTCCCACCTATGGTGGAAATTACAATTATAAAGCTCTTTGTAGATGCAAAACTCTACAAGTGCCAATGCAACATAATGCACAACAGCAGCTGCACTGGAACCAGTGACTAGGACTTGTCTGGGTACAAGCAATCACTACAGTAAGGAAGTTGAGTTGCTTGGAAATCTAGGACTGGTTCCTCTCCCACACACCTGAAATCTGAAATTTCAAATCTGAAATTTGATTAATGATATGTTGAGCTAGGGCCACAGGTACTAGTCCCCTCTAGTCCCACCTAGTGACAAAGGGATCAAAGGTAGACTACTAGCTAAGTAACAGCTCACTGTAATTCATTCATCCATCCAGCTTTTCTGAAAGTAATGGCGAAAATCCAGGTTGGTGGAACAGGAAACAGGAGTTGAGAAAGTGCCTTTGGTCTCTTCTGGGCACAGGGCTGTTTTCTCCAAATGAAAGCCCACTGGTATTGGCACCTTGCTAGTATGCCTAGTCTGGGGCAGCCCTGAAGGTGGGTTTAATGGTACCTGTATTGTGAAGCACTGTTCTACTTAAACTAGGAGCAGGGAAGGTCAGCTCATATTCACTCCTTCTATATTGATAAGAAATTAGAATGAAGCAGAGCCCCATGGGTAGACCCGGCACAGCTCAGTTCACTGGACTTCACCTCCAGCCTGATTGGTGAATGTGCAGTTTTGGTCTCTAGACAAAATCAGACCACATCATGGGCACAGTGTAGACTGTGACACTGCTACCATTGTCTGCACCAGCTCAGGCCTACCTGGTTATGGAGGTTAGAAGGCCTAAAATAAAGTGAAAGAACAAACAGAGAACAGGTTAGAGCCCTGTAGGTCTAGACATCCCAAGACGATGCTACCCAAATTAAAAACTGTAGCTGTATTTTCCTCTTCCACTATTACCTTCTTGAGGGTGGATTCATAAACTTCAAATGCTTCCAGGTCTGAAATATTCCTCTGTGAGACTTGGACTATGAAACCTTGTAGCCTTTAGACAGACACCTGGATCTTGACGGCAAACTGCAGTGGCAGTAGAGAGCAACTTGCTTTGGACAATGGATCCCAAGTCATTTCCTGATCGCTCACTCTTCCATTGTCTTTGTCATGGGAGAGGGGCTTCAGGGAACAGACACATGAAGCACTGATTTCATGCCCATCCAGTTCTGAGGGTGCAGCATTCAGCCAAATGAGGGCAGGAGTTAGCATATTTAAAAGATTTCCTCCTCTATTTTTCAAGTACCAGAATCACAAAAACCAAATCATAAAGCAACCAAACAGGCATCACTCTCTACAAATGAGGAGGACAGAGATTGTGAAGGGTTACATACATACAACTGCTAGTGACCTCCCATCTCCTGCCTGAGGCCAGCACTCCCTCCAACCACCAGGAGGGATGGGACTTCACAGGAGGTTTCTCATTCTTTCCTACACAGATTTATTCCCATTTTAAAATGCAAGCACAGAACTGCACCATCCCAGCCAACTGCAGGTGCCCAGAGAAAACAGAAGCTATATTTGTGACAGGGATATGCCCACCCTCATCTCACAACCCATAGTCGCATGCCTCAGGACTGTTCTTCACATACAGCTCAAAAAAGCCTTTGAGTGTTTGTGCGTCAGTCATCGTAGCCTTGACGGCAGGATCCTTCTTCATGGCTTCCACCCATTGCCTGAGCTTCGGGGTATGCTGCAGACAGCTATGGGAACAGGAAAGAAACTTTGTATGAGCAGAGGGGAAATTGGGAGGACATCAAGAAAGCTGAACATTTAATGAGGTTCTATGTTCCTGTTTGTTTTGCCTTCTCCCTCCCACAAGGTTAAATTCCAAACAGACAGAAGAAATACATTTTAGGCCAGAGAGAGCAGAGAGAAGGGCATCTCTAGCTACGTCTACACTGCATTTCAAATCACACGGCACTGAGTCTCCAAGCCTGGGTCTACAGACATGGGCTTATGCTCTGGCATGACAAGCCATTGTGCAGATGTCCAGGCTACCCACTCCCATCCCTGGGCTTCAGAGCCCGAACGGCAACACAGATGTTTAGTGTGCCATAGCGTAGACTCAACTTTGTAGACCCCTGCTCTGAAGCTTGCTGCCACGAATTTAAAATGCAGAGTAGACATGCCCTTTAAGGCTATCAAGTCTTCTTTATATAGCCAAGGGTGAATAGCCACTGCTTGTGGAAGCTCCTACTCTAAGAGAGAAGCATAATCCTTGTGTGATGTACCTATCATCCTTTAGACATTGGATTACTCCCTCACCCTTCCCAGAGAGTGCGTGATCCTGCACTGACTGCAGCATTTGTTTTGCTGGAGTGGAAGATATTCACATTACATTGGGGTGTGTGTGTTTTTTGCAGGTCCGTGACCCCTATCCCAATACACCCCACTTCGTGCCAATCCAAGAGCCCATTCTTCCCATAAATCCTGTTGGCCAAAACAACTTACACAGTTTAGGTCACCACTAGCCAGTGACTTTTTATTGTCAGTTTCAGGGTAATTGCACCTGTATGCCCCATTCCATTGTCCACTCGGGGCATGTGCAGTCAGGTCTCCAGCCACCACCGGTCTCTGGGCAGGGACCCTGGCCCACTCCCATCTGACTGCGGGGTTTTTAAGGCTGCACAGCTTCCTGCCTTACACTGAGATAGCCAGACAGGCTAACTAGGGCTATAGGCCAGTGCCTGTGCGTGGCCTTCTCTCAGAGGGCTATGAACAGTGTATTGTCAGCAGTCCCAAGTTACCACACAGCTCACTCTAAGCAAGGAGATTTATTCTTAGGTAAAACATTACCTGGGGTGGGGGAAGGAGAGAACAGAGAGGAACCCACACAAAACACTGAACAGACATCCCAGGAGTTACCCATCAGTCCAAGGGGCCTTAGCAGGCCAAATTGGTCTTTCCAACCCTTCCATAAGAGTTGGGGCCCCACCTTGGAGCAGGTGGCCTTGTCCATTTGCTGGATCAGAAAGGCGGCCCTAAGTCAGTTTAAACAGCCTTTTTATATCAGTCGCCCTTTCTTTGTCCATTGATCTCTGGAACACCCAGTTTCAGCCAGTATATGCAAGCCTCCCGCTAGGGCACTTGGTAGGCAAACCCCTCTGTACTTCACTTTAATCACCCCCCACTGCTTTTGGTTCCTAGAGGAGCGGTCATAGCCCTCCCTCCTGGAAAAAGAAAAAGGAGGACTTGTAGCACCTTAGAGACTAACAAATTTGAGCATAAGCTTTCATGAGCTACAGCTCGCTTCATCGGATGCAATCCCTGGCCCACAGTGATACAATATGGTCCCCAAAAGACATGGCCTGGGCTTGCAAGATCAGGCACAGCCAGATGGCTTGAAATCCACACGCAGCGAGCACACAGCTCTACTGCAGGAGAGCGAGCTCAACGGGCATTTTTAGCTCCGCCTCCCAAATGACCTCCCTGAGTATCCTGCACATGAGTTTGCAATTTCCAAGTCTGCTCATATTAAAAGCCTAATACTGCCTCTGCACAGCATCCCCTATCTGACAGGGATCTCAGCTCTTACGCTCAGATTTTTTTTGGGGGGGAGAACCCCTCTCCCTAAACTGGAATAAGGCCATAATGCCATGAAAACTTTTCTTCTTTACCTGCACGGCCCAAGTGATAGCACAGAAGAAGCTAAGCCACTTGGTGGCTTTGGCCCTTGCTTTCAGTGCCTGAGGTAATGACTTCAGATCCTAGGGTCTCCTTGCATCTTTGATGAAGGATTGGGGAAGGGGGGGGTAGCCTGGAACTTGGGAGAACTGGGTTCAATTCCCTGCTCTACCACACTCTCTGGGGAAGTCACGAAGCTCCTCATATGTAAAATGGGAATCACAGAACTTCCCTGCCTCACAGGAGTGTTGTGAGGATAAACGTATTTTAAAAAATAGTTGTAAGGTGCTCAGATACTGTGGTAATGGGTGCACTACAAACACCTAAGACAGAAGCAGGTTCTCTTTGTGGTTAGTTCCATTACGAGCAGGCCTTAACTTTGGGAGAGCTGGTTTCAATAGGGTAAGATGCCTTCTGGGACTATTTTTATTCAGTCTATACAGTGCTACACAATGGAGTCCTGGTCCATTACAAAGGGCTGTTATATGTTACTGAAATACAGCACACCCTCTTGCCCCCTCCCCAAGTAGGGCCCATTACGCGGCCCAGTTCATGTCTGGAGAATTTACACATTCCATTCACGCTAAGCAGCAGCGTTCCTGGCTGGGGTAATTTAGAGTTAATTAGAAGCTGTAATGCACCACTTGAAAATGTGTAAGATCCATAAAACATTCAAGCACTTACTCAGGCAATTGTAAGAATTCCAGTCGTTCAAACCAAGGCCAGATCATGTAATCAATCATGGACACAGAGTCCCCACCATAGAACACAGTCTTGCAGCCAGCTAAAATCTGAGGACAAGATGCAGTATTTCATATTTAAAAATTAGTTACATGGAAAACCCTTACAAAAAAACCCAAAACATGCTATACTGCAAAGCAGGAGCCAGGGAGGAGATGAACAAGAGAGTGGAGGCAGAACTGGCATCTCCTTACCTAAATTAAACATTCTTAGTGGGCCAGTCAGTCACTAGAGCAGCTCCAATATGAGTTTGGATTCTTTACATGCTGAGAGCTGGATCCTATTCTAGCTCAAATGCACAATCTGGACTGGCAATTACGCACGAGCCCTGAACAATATTCTCAGGATCCAGGTGGCAGTTAGAGACTGTTTTAACTTGTCAACTAGCTATTCTGATATGGAGGCACCAAGACAGATATGGCAACCCTGGTGCCTTGTGTGTTTTGAAACTGTTAAATAAACATTTCAGCTGCACCATAAGACTGGTCGAACAAGGGCATAAAGATTTCAGCTGTATTTCTTTTTTCACTGCATCCCCAAGTTGAGGTAGCTTTGTGAATGCAATTCTACCAGACCATTGTCATGCTAAAACCTGTGCCAGATTCCATCCTCAGACACAAGAGCGGAGTCCTCCACCTCAGAAGAGCAGGAGGGATGCATTCTTCCTATTGCAAAACTGGTCCACACTATACAGACTTCTAAAAACAAGTGCCGTGTAAATGGATTGGAACATGCCTCTGCTGCTGCACCTGTAAACTGGTGACAATCCCCAATTTCAAAGGAGAGAGAAGAGGCTAACCTAGATGTTTGAAAAGCACTTTACCATTCTCCAGGGCCTACTGTGGTAGGATCTTGAAGTACTTGACCTGCATTTGCAGTAAGGTCCCCCTACCCACCTATGCTTTATCCACAAACAAGATCTTACATGTGACATTCTTAGGAGTTTGGTAGCGTTTGTACGTAGCACAACGGGATCCTGCTCCGTGACTCGAACGCCTACACGCTAGGGTAGTACAAGTCATCATCAGAAACAGAGCTAGCACTCGGAGGGGCTTTTTCTGACACCTTAAAATACCAACTTCTTGTCCATGTAAAGCAGACATTAAGAGTCCACTTATTTGTGGTGGGGAGGAGGAGGGGAAATGCCAGCGATCTATTCAAAGCCGTAAACCATCAATCAGCAAACATCTGAGGAGCTGCTTCAGTCACCAGATGCCGGACAGAAAATAACCAGATGTTAGTATTCAGAGGAGCAGCCGTGTTAGTCTGTATCTGCAAAAAGAACAGGAGGACTTGTGGCACCTTAGAGACTAACATTTATTTGAGCATGAGCTTTCGTGAGCTACAGCTCACTTCATCGGATGCCAGCTACACTAACACCCCACTACCAAATGCTTCAAACACGGAGTTCCTCTCGAGTTAAAGCCTTTCATCTTGGAGTAGCTGATCACAGTCAAGAGCTAAGGTACTGGCAGGTGACGTTGTCTGGTTCTTGTGGGAAGCGGCTTCCCAGGGAACTCCATTTTCCACGGCATGCATCTGATGAAGTGGGCTGTAGCTCATGAAAGCTTATGCTCAAATAAAATTTGTTAGTCTGAGGTGCCACAAGTACTCTCTTTCTGCAGATGTTAGCAGTTTCATAAAGATGTGACCATGGCTCCCTCTGGTGGACAGCAGTGAGTAGGACACAGGACATTTCAATACATTTCATGCTTCTCTGGCTAACAGCTCTTGGAACAGGCTGAACTGATTTTGCATGGCTGGATGCTCATTATCTTCTATAGGTCAGACTGGGATTTAAGCCACCGCAACAGAGAGAGGGGCTCCCTATTACCTGCCAGTCCATATACATCTAGAAAATCCCTCAGGATCTCTCAAAGTCTTTTGCAGCAGCAGGTATCTTGCAGCAGGATTGTAAATGGGAGGGAAAGGGAAGCTTCGTTTTTTATTTCTCAGTGTATTTGTCTTGCAAGAAGTCCCCTAGGAAGCAGCCTCCCCCAAGAACCAGACAATGTCACCTGCCAGTACCTTAGCTCTTGACTCTGATCAGCTACACAAAGATGAAAGGCTTTAACTTGAGAGGAACTCTGTGTTTGAAGCATTTGGTAGTGGGGGGTTAGCATAGCTAACAAGTTAGACAGAGGTATCAGAGGGACAGGCATACTCTAGTGTCAGCCACACCAAAGTAACTGGCTGAAGTTAAAGCCATCAGCAAAGGGAAGGAGATGACTGTAGCCGGAGCTATGAGAGGTTCACAACAGAGGAGCAGTGTGCCAAGATGCTGCTTCTTGCTCAAGGAGGACAGAGTAGGATTTTTTTTTCCTTTTGAACATGGTCATTTCTTTGCCGCCTGATCAGATGACCAGATAGTTTTTTGGTTGCTTTATTTCTAGAAGATCATGGGCCTCTCTCCAAAGAGGTAAAGGAGGTTGTTCATTCAAACAACTATATTTTAAGGAGTCACACCGCAGATGGAGGGAAAGTATCAGCACATCTTATTCAAACAATGACCTGGCAGTGGTTTGGGTTAACAAAAAACAGCACTTGAAGTAAAAAACTGAATTTAAATCTCCAATATAGATCCAAAACCACCTGTCGCAGCTCCCTGGACATTGATGGAGGTACACGATTGGACTAGAACATGGCCCATAGCTGGATCTTTGCAATCAGAGTCCCCCAACCCAATGGCTCATCGGAGTGATATGGTGAAGGCACATCAGCTTCATAGCCAGCAGCATGCAAGGGAGTGATGTGGCCAGGATCACATCCAGCCACCTTTGACTGCCTTAACTGGATGAACCAGGTACCTGTTTTGCAGCTCGGTGAATTGGAGTGTGAGATCAAGGGAGACTTGGACTCACCAGCTTCAGGATTCAAGTACCTTAACCACCACATCTACAGGGGAGGGATTATATTCCATGGGAATGAGCAGGGAGAAAGGATAATAGCTTGTAGTTGGACAGAGGGGGCCAGACCCTAAAATAAACTGAGGGTCAACAACTTCATCCCCAATATTGTTGTACTCATCTCAGTAACAGCAAAGAAGAAACACTGTCAGTCAGGTGGACATGCTAACATACCAGAGAAGGTTATGACAACCCAGTCTGAATGCTCTTCAAACTTGCTGCAAGACCTCCTTCTGTCCTAGGAGGGCAAGGTAGACATAAAACAGCAGAGGTAGCTAGCACTTGAGAAGGGTGTGGAACAAAATCCCCTACGAAGTCCACTCTGGAGTTCAAAATTCAGCTCTAGTTTAAACTTTGCCATGCTTAGATGCTGGAGTTTTCTATGCCACATCTCAGTGTGAGGGGAGTAAACTACAGGACTACTCATTTTTCATAGTTAGAACTTCTGAAATAAGTCCTGTCTCCTCCCTTTCTCAAGGCTTTCCAAGTGAGACAGCCAGCCCAGTGCATGCGAGCAGAAGAGGACTCCCATTTACCATAGGTTTGGTAGTTTCGTTCAGTCCCAGAGAGGACTGTTTCTTACCTTCTCAAATTCGTCAAGCTTCTTAATGAACTCCGCTTTCAGCGCTGAACTGTCCTCCCCATTTTTAACTGCCAGGAGATGTTTTAAGGCTAGAGGTGGTAACTGAACAAACCAGAAAAGACAACAACATTACGGAGAGCTTGACCTCCTTGCAGAAGGGAGGTTTTATCTCATTACAGGGATAGTCACAAGTCACTTCAGCCCAGATCCTTAAAAGGTATCTGAAATCAACGGAAGTTGGGTGCCTAAATGCTTTTCAGGATCTGGGCTTTAGCACTTAAATTTAGGTTTTGCTTAAAAAACACACACCACACCAAGCCTAATAGTGACAGAAGTGTTCTCTAGGTTTCAGAGAAAATACAGGTTGCAAAAGAATTAAAATGCTAATACTGAAGGATTATAATAGTGCAGAAGAATCAGAAGAGGGAAACTCACTAGTCTTTCCATTGTTCAAGCTGCCTACGGTGCCAAAAAAAGCACCAGCAATAAAAATGGTGAAATGCAAATTTTGACATTCTAAGGATGCTTTTGAAATTCCAATACATGTTAATAGGAAAAGATATTAAGGGACAGTCAGATTTAGACATTTATATCTTCAAGAACTTTGTCGTTTGGCACCTGCCAGAGAAGTTAGGGGATTGGCATGAGTTACAATAAAATAACAGAATAAACTTGGATAATATTTGTAAAGCTTCCTTTTGGCTTTCAACAGTTTACAGACCCATGCTTTGAAGAATTACCCTAGAGTGAAGGATTTGAGAATGGCACTGATGCAAGCATTTACCCAGTTTGCCATCTTTGCCTATAATGGTACAGCAAAGCATACCACAGAGGTGTGGTTTATAGAGTGCTCCAGTTGCCTCACGTAGACCCTGCTGGTGCATTCCAAAAGGTACCTCATTCATGTTCAATGTAATTTGAAACAGGACTATATTATGCAAACTAGGCACCTTTCAGAGCATGCCAGCCCGGTTTATATGGGGCAGTTAGAACACAGCACATTAGAGCTCTCTGGAGGGACAGGGACAGGAGACCAGCCCTAAGGCTGATCTGCTAACCCCCTTAAACTGAATGCCAGGTTCCCCATTCTGCACCCAGTCCTATAGAGAGTCAACAAGCTTAAGAGATCTCCTGCTTTCACCTCACGTGTTCCTTTTTTCTGACTTCCAAATGCTGACAGAGATGCAGATAGCTTAGCAGCATTTTGGATTAGCGAATGGTAAGTGGTTCTATTATATTTAGAAGAGTGATTTTACTAGGAAGCAAGATCCATCCTTAAAAGTGAAAGGAAATGTCTACAGTGCAGCACTAGTATTGTGCATAGCCCTGAAGGTTACACCGCCCCCTCCTGATCACACTGTACCTTGGAGAATCTTTCCAAGAGCATCTTTTGACATGCTCGCTCATAAGGATCAGCAGGTAGAAGCTTCTTCCCAGGATATGCTTCATCCAAATACTCGCATATGATTGGAGACTCACAGATCAGCTGACCCTTGCTGGTCTCCAGAAGAGGTACCAAACCAAAGGGATTTTTCTCAAAGAGCCAGTCAGGTTTGTTTTTCAGATTGATGTTGATTGTTTCATGCCTGAAGAGTTTAAGACAGAGCAAGATCAGTTTTGTCAGCCTACTCCAGTAACTTCAAAGAAAGCAATAGTGTTTGCCTCAATATCCTCCTGTCGGTTAGCTAGGAGTAAAGGGAGAGAAGAGCCAGGAAAACATCCCCATTGATTTACCACCTCTCTCCTTTCTTGAAGTCAGTGGTGTCTCGAAGGTACCTGGGAGTGCTGGTAGCGTAGGGCCTGAGGAGGGAGTCTACATAGCCAGACAATCCTGCTGTCAGGGTGCCAATGCCTGAGATGATGGGGCGCCCAGGATTTCCAGGTGTATGGATCTTGGGTAGTAGATAGAATATCCCAGGTCGGGGTTCCAGGGGTGCGTCTGTGCAGATTTGATCTTGTGCTTTTTCAGGGAGTTTCTTGAGCAAATGCTGTAGTTTCTTTTGGTAACTCTCAGTGGGATCAGAGGGTAAAGGCTTGTAGAAAGTGGTGTTGGAGAGCTGCCGAGCAGTCTCTTGTTCATATTCCGACCTATTCATGATGACAACAGCACCTCCTTTGTCAGCCTTTTTGATTATGATGTCAGAGTTGTTTCTGAGGCTGTGGATGGCATTGTGTTCCGCACGGCTGAGGTTATGGGGCAAGTGATGCTGCTTTTCCACAATTTCAGCCCGTGCACGTCGGTGGAAGCACTCTATGTAGAAGTCCAGTCTGCTGTCTCGACCTTCAAGAGGAGTCCACCTAGAATCCTTCTTTTTGTAGTGTTGGTAGGGAGGTCTCTGTGGATTAGTATGTTGTTCAGAGGTATGTTCGAAATATTCCTTGAGTCAGAGACGTCGAAAATAGGATTCTAGGGCACCACAGAACTCTATCATGTTTGTGGGGGTGGAGGGGCAGAAGGAGAGGCCCCGAGATAGGACAGCTGCTTCTGCTGGGCTAAGAGTACAGTTGGATAGGTTAACAATATTGCTGGGTGGGTTAAGGGAACCATTGCTGTGGCCCCTTGTGGCATGTAGTAGTTTAGAAAGTTAAGTGTCCACATACCACACAACAGAACCACTAACCCAGGAACCTATCCTTGCAACAAAGCCCATTGCCAACTGTGCCCACATATCTATTCAGGGGACACCATCACAGGGCCTAATAACATCAGCCACACTATCAGAGGCTCGTTCACCTGCACATCCACCAATGTGATATATGCCATCATGTGCCAGCAATGCCCCTCTGCCATGTACATTGGTCAAACTGGACAGTCTCTACGTAAAAGAATAAATGGACACAAATCAGATGTCAAGAATTATAACATTCATAAACCAGTTGGAGAACACTTCCATCTCTCTGGTCACGCGATTACAGACATGAAAGTTGCGATATTACAACAAAAAAACTTCAAATCCAGACTCCAGCGAGAGACTGCTGAATTGGAATTCATTTGCAAATTGGATACAATTAACTTAGGCTTGAATAGAGACTGGGAGTGGCTAAGTCATTATGCAAGGTAACCTATTTCCCCTTGTTTTTTCCTATCCCCCCCCACGTTCTTGTTAAACCCTGGATTTGTGCTGGAAATGGCCCACCTTGATTATCATACACATTGTAAGGAGAGTGGTCACTTTAGATATGCTAGGTTTCAGAGGAACAGCCGTGTTAGTCTGTATTCGCAAAAAGAAAAGGAGTACTTGTGGCACCTTAGAGACTAACCAATTTATTTGAGCATGAGCTTTCGTGAGCTAGCTGTAGCTCACGAAAGCTCATGCTCAAATAAATTGGTTAGTCTCTAAGGTGCCACAAGTACTCCTTTTCTTTTTAGATATGCTATTACCAGCAGGAGAGTGGGGTGGGGGGAGGTATTTTTTCATGCTTTGTGTGTATAAAAAGATCTTCTACACTTTCCACAGTATGCATCCGATGAAGTGAGCTGTAGCTCACGAAAGCTTATGCTCAAATAAATTGGTTAGTCTCTAAGGTGCCACAAGTACTCCTTTTCTTTTTGCGAATACAGACTAACACGGCTGTTACTCTGAAACCTGCAACAGAATTTTACTCTGACCTTACACTGAACGGAAGGGAAACTGTCTTAGCCACAAGTTAGAAAGAGGCAGTATGATAAAGCTAAAATACCAAAGCCAAGCAGACAAGGTTGGGGTTGTTTGTTTGTTTTTTTTTAAAAACAAACACTCACTCAGGGTTGCATATCCTTGAGGTTTTTGGAAGTCAGTTTAATTGCTTGAGTTTATTAAACTACTTGTAATGGGAATGAACATTTATGGAGTGGCCGTACTACCATGTACCTGTCTCCCGGAACAAACTTTTGTGGAGTTTCCAATTAAGCATGTCAGCTAACAAGTTAAACAACATTGCAACGAACTGATTTAAATATAGACAAACCCTAAAGTGGGAAATTTATTATCTGATGCCAGAATCCCGCCCCAACCCCTTTGGCCGCCTTGTATTGGAATGATCCTGCAGTACCCGATCCCGCAAACTGTTCTGACAGAAACCCCTGCACCAATGCAGAGCCCAACAAAAACTTCGGTGACTGCACAAGATGCATGCACACGGCAGCTTACAGGACCACAATCTTAAATTGTAAGTTCTGTACTGCAAAGAGCTATGTTATTTAGGCATTAGATAATTACGTATACAAAGCTACTAGTGTGATTTAACTGCCAAAAAGAAACTATTTTTTAATATGTGTCAGTCCCAGCATATTAGAGAGACCAGGTAGGTGAGGTAAGATCTTTCATTGGACCAGCTGCTTGGCTGGAAACAAGCTTTTGAGCCACACAGAAAGAGCACCGTGTAGCTCAAAAGCTTCTCTCGCTCTCCCTCCTCAACAGGAGTTGGTCCAATGAGAGATTATCTCACCCACCTGGTCTCTCTAATATGCTGGGACTGACACAGCTACAACTACACTGCCTACAAAGAAACTATTAACTAATAATCTGTTCTCAAAAAGGTTCCCAAGCACAGATTCAGATATCAGATCACGAGGATTGCACATGCCTAGGGACACCAGTGACTATATTTCCACTCAACATAGCTGGACTCCAATCAAAGGACAATCGTCACCAGTTATGCAAGGAGCAGCCACCACATTTAAAACAATACCGGGGGCGGGGAAATCAGAAGAGACCAAGTTACTTGGGTTGCCTTATGTATAGGAAAATAGGCAGGTGGATTGATGTGGAGCTTTACTACATTTGGTTCTCTGAAAGAGTCAGAGAAAGACTGCAGTGTGATTGGTGTGTGCTCCACCAATAAGAATTTGAAATCCAATGCTGACCTATAGGGTGTGGTTAGACCATGAGTGAATCAGCAATCCAGTAGAGGTCATATTACTCACTAACTGCAAGCTTAGTCATATTACTTAATCACTTGTAAACAAGGAATAAATACTTCCCTATTTGAAAAGGCACTATTGTTGATAAAGTTCCTTCAGCAAAGGATCTAGAGGAAGCTATAGAAATGGAACATTTTTAAAAAGAGAAACCATGAACACACACAAGTACATTTACCATAGAAACCACTAACATACTATTGTAGGCTATATTTTAATGAATTGTAAGCCAGAGAAAATACATACCGAGTGTTCATGCTAAGGGTTACATTTTCCAGCATTTTTGCTGCTCAATTTCCATTAGGTAAAGATATTAAAAAAGATGAAATTCACACTTGAGATAAGGTTTTTCTGCCATTGCTACGAAGACAACCCAACATTACTACAACGGAAAAAGAAAAAATTTTGCTTGGGGGTTTTCTAATTAGCTTACTTTGTACCTTTGATGCAGTTAGTTTCCTCAGTGTCCCATTTGTTTGGGCAGGCCTTTCCCACAGCAGCAGGCAATGTGAAAATATTTTCAATAAAAAAATAGATTTGAATGTAACCCCACAACAGCTGACTGGGAAACATTCAAAAGTAAGAACAATGAGGAGTCTGGTGACACCTTAAAGACGAACAGATTTATTTGGGCATAAGCTTTCGTGGATAAAAAATCCCACTTCTTCAGATGCATGGAGTGAAAATGCATGAAGTGGGTTTTTTATCCACGAAAGCTTATGCCCAAATAAATTTGTTCGTCTTTAAGGTGTCACCGGACTCCCGTTGTTTCTTTGGATACAGACAAACACGGCTACCCCTCTGAGATTTAAAAGTAGTTTTGTGTACTGACTATACTTCCACCCCACCCCTTTAAAAAATAAATTAAAATAAAATTAAAATATTCCCTGGATTTTGTGTTTGTCTCTTTTTAAATAGGTATGGGTAGCAAGAGTGACAGCTATTTGATTCATCCTGTTAAGCTTGCTAAATTATAGAAGACCACCATACGTAAGCCAAAGTGGCTTTAACAAAGGACACAGCAGAGTTACATGAAAGCAGTAAAAAAGGCTTCAGCCCCTAAGCTTTTAAATACCAAGGAGACAGCCACCTTGGAGCATATGATCTTACTTAATGTCTTTGGCTTTCAAGACAAGACGTGTTCTCTGTGCAAAGGGACAGAAGCGCATGCTGTAGACACGGATCAGTCCCTCGGGCACAGGGCCTGGAACAGTGCTTCCTACAAGAGAGATGTTACACCGGTTATTCTATGCTCACACCTGCACAATTACAGGCTTCCTCTTAACATCCGGTTTAAGACAAAAAACAAAAAAACCCACAACCAGTGGCCTGGGGAGGAAACAAAAAGGGTTTCTGAAAGTAGCCGTTGCTCTTTGTAGAGCACTTAATTCTGGCATGGAAACGGTGCTTCTCCTGCACTTCTGAAGTGGGGCTTCGGGAGAGAATAGGGCTGTATTACTTTGGTGAGGGCCCTGGGGTGAATCAGTTCTCCAGGGCAGTACAATAACAGACATTGTGCATTTATAGAGCTGCTGAGTGGGATGGTCTCCTGGATAGCTTGCCTCCCACCCGAGTGAGCCGAGTCACCTCCGGGCAGATGACGACATAGGCTCTGTGCAAAACACGAGTAGCCCTCCCAGGGGCCAGAGATCCAGGCGTGGGGGAGGGATCCAGGCACAGTCTCCCCACGTCTGAGCAGAGAGCACACGCGGATCCGGGGAGGGGGACGTGCGTGCAATGCAACCCACCAGACCCTGGCAGAGGCAGGGCCCTGGGGAGAGAAAAAGGCGTCCAGGGTGCTACGAAATGACACCCTCCCCGCGGGAGGGACAGACGCAGGGAGCAAGGCGAGAGGGGGAATCCGGTGCCCCAGCCAGAAAGGCAGAGCTGGAGGGTGCAATGCAATGCAATGCAATGCAATGCAATCCCCCACCCCCAAGCGGGAGATCCCCTGCGGGGCACACAGCCCGGCCAGCACCCACCTTTCCCCAAGCTGCGAGCGCGCTCCCCAGCCATTGCTGCCGTCTCAGAGGCGCCTCGGTCACCCGGGGCGCCGAGCTGCGCCTGCGCGCGCTGTATGCCGACCCACGCCGCCCGGGCTCCTGCGGGTCGATCCCGCCCCCTCGGGCACAGCGGGAAGTTAAAAGGGAAGGAGCTGCAGAAGCTACCCCTTTTCCACCCCCCCAACCAGGCGAGGGGGCGGGGGAAGCAGCAGATTCACCCCCCCTCCCTCTGATAGCTAGGGGAGGGGGCGGGAAGCAAATTCACACACCCCCAGCTACCAAGTAAAGGAGGGGGAAAGAAATATCCAAGGTAAAGGCAGAGGGGAAGCAACCCACAGGGCACACAAAGAGTAGGTTTGCCTTATTCACAGAGGAACTGGTGCCAGTACTGGAGACAGCAAGAGAAATAAGTGGGGCATTAAGGGAGGCATGGGCCTGAACGGCGGGGTTTAAGGCCCAGCTTGACAAAGCCCTGGCTGGGATGATTGGGTTGGGGTTGGTCCCGCTTTGAGCAGGGGGTTGGACTAGGTGACCTCCTGAGGTCTCTTCCACCCCTAATCTTCTATGATTCTCGTCCTGGCTCATGCATGAATTTGCTGCATGACCTTAGGCAAGTCACTTTGCCTCTCCTGGACTTCACTTCCCCATCAGTAAATCAGGGCTATTAAGGCTTATCATGTCTGTAATGTGCTGTGAGATCCTTAGCTGGAAGGTGCTTCCTAAAAGTCAGTGCCATTGGTCTGTATGTATCAGGGAAGGTAGCTGGAGCACCAGTATGGATGGGATATTCAAGACAAGCTTGGCTCAGGCTTTAGTGGCAGTGAATAGTTCCGTCAAGATGCAGGAGGTCAGAATGGATAACCCAGTGCATGCCTCCCATCTAACATAAATCTATTCCATGCCCTGCTGATGCTGACCCAGTCACTAAGAGACACTGGTAAACTGTTTTTAATTTCCTTTACCCTGTTCTGCCTATGACAGGGGAAATCCGAACCAGGTGACTTTTCAAGTTAAATGGGGAACCCAAGGCAACGTTCCTGTATCGATTACGTCACTGCAAGGGAATGGATGCACTGGCTTTCTGGATGGGAAGCACCACTGATGCTTCCAGCCGCCTCTGATGCAGATAGAACCCTCCACTTCAAGATGAAAATAAAGGAGGGAGCTAAATAATCTAATAAAGGAGGGGGCACAATGGATGCTGGGCTTCACATGATTGCTGTCTTGACAAATGCCTCACAGGAACTCACCAGCCTTTGTAGGAGCTGTTGCTGCACCTGGGCCTGCTCCTTGATGAACTCCTGGAACCTGTTTAATGCATAGTTATGGTGAGTCCCTCTGACACAAACATAATGCAAAGCAGGACTTGAATGTGCACAAACTGTGGAGGGGGGAGGGGTAGAGAAAGACAAGGCAGTGTCACATGATGCCAGTTCCCCAGCAGAACACAGAAGTATTCACATTTTTCCTGCCCTGTCAGGGTAAAGACATTTGCAGTCAGAGTGTGCCTGCCCCTTATGGGGGTGCAAGATAAAGCTGAAGGAGGGAGTAAAGAGCCTTCTCCGCCATGTTACTCAGGCAAGGGCCCTGTGGTAAAATGAGGCACAGGTGAAATCTCTCCTCCTGGGGCACTGTGACCCTGCCCTAAGTTCAGGGCTGTGCCTGTTTGACACAGTCTAGTTCTTAGTATGCACAAGGGGACTATCAAAACTCTTGTTTTGTTTTGCTATTGACTCTAGATTTGCCCCTCAGTCGTTGCATGATGATCAATATCTCATCTCTCCTGTGGCCAAAGAGCATGAGAGACAGTAAGTAGTGAAAAGAAAAGGAGTACTTGTGGCATCTCTCCTTTTCTTTAACAGACTAACACGGCTGCTACTCTGAAACCAGTCAGTAGTGAGGTGATCAATGTCCGCTAACAGGGTGAATTGATACCTTATCAGCCTAATGTTTTCAGTAGTTTGAACCCTAAGTTTGGCATTGAACTGGTAGCCTGAAGTTTTGCTCAGTCATTGTTGCTGTCTGGTTATCTAATTTTGCTCCAAGGAGTGATTTATGTGATCAGGGAGTGGCATGTACGGCTCAGGCATGTGGTGTACAGGACAAACACAACCCATTTATCTCATATCTCTTGCCAACACTAGAGGCAAGAAACCTCTACAGTACTTACCCTGGAGATTCTCAAACACCTAATGCCTCAGCTACCAAAAGTAATTATTTCTTAGGGGACATTTCCTCTGAGTGCCCTCATTTACCACATCTACCTCTGACAGGGCAAGGGTTAAATAGGGAACTGTCACTGTCCCCTTTGATTATGGAAGTAGTGACTCATTTGAATAATCTGGTGGAGTGGGATTGTAGTGGGGTGGCTGCCTCATTCCAGGAGAGCAAGGGTTAAAAGCAGCCCTTGGAGAGGGCTGTGGCTGGGACCCAATTAGAAAAGGGATTAAGAGCAGTTGAGGGAGGCTGGCTGAGTAGCTGGCCACAGGTGTGGCCAGTTCAATCAGGACACAGTTGGCCCTGATAAGAGGGGCTGTGAGCTAGGAGACAGAGTTTCACTCCAGCCTTGGGGTGAGAAGGATCTAGCTACCTGGAAATATGGGCTCCCTAGAGCTGAGCCATGCTGTAGCGCTCTGGCCTAGTGAGTCCCCAGGCTGAGGCCTTGCTGAAGGCCAAAGGAGGTACTGGGGCTGTAGGGAGACAGCTGGGCCAACAAGGGTCGTAGGTCCAACCCCCTTGCTAGTGATGAGTGGCTATTACAGACTGCAGTTAGCCCCAGAGAATGGGGGCTAGATGATGACTGGCAGTAGCTACTGAGGCAAGGTGGGCAGAGGGTTGGGGGGTTCCACTGGGAGAGGAGACCCTGAGCATGGGGACTGCTGTGGGGCAGAACTCTAGGGTAAGGGGCACTGAGGTCCAGGAGGGACACAGGGCCTGAGGCAGGAGAGACCCAGGCCAGCAGGAGGTGCTCTGAGTGCTGGAATCGAGCAATTCCTTGATGACCAGCAGGAGGCGCTGTGGTGGTGAGCGCTTGACACTCCTACAGGGATGCAAGGAGGAGGGGTGTAGTAATTAAGGAGGACACAGGCAGTCTGGTAAACCATAGCTGGTAAGCCAAGGAAGGACAGGTAGGATCCATATACACAATGCAACACCAATAAATCTGCACATGATAATATCCACTGTCCAAATGCTTTGATGACCACACCCAACACTGGCATCCCAGGGAATTGAGTATGGTATGTGACAGATCTCCTAGCCTGTGGACTAGTTGAGCCCTTTTAGCCTCAGGTCTGAACATTAAGACAACTCTCTGGAACCCTATCATCAAGTCTCAATAGAGTGAACACAGCTCCTTGTTCTGTCCAGGTACTATGCAATTCACTGACTGATCTGTATGGACAGTAGCATGGCACTATTGGCAAGGTACAATTTTGCCCAACTGTCCTTGGGTAGAATTTCCACTGTTTGCAGTGTCCTCTGAGCTCTTTGTTGATGCCCTTGACCACAAAGACCACTCCATTTCAATGGTGTTATGCATTAATGTTTTAAGACACGAGGTCAAAAGGGCCCATTTGTTCTATATAAAGTGTTCACCTACATACAGAGCAGAAGGACAACATAGTGAAGAATTTGTCTACAAGGCAGGAGCATGCCAAGTGCAGGGACAGAATTCAGGCCAAATGCCCAGTAGGGATGTAAAATATTAAGCAGTAAACATTAGTCTTACCGGTTAACCCGCCTTAACTGTTAACCTCTGGGCCGGCCCCAGACATGCCAGCCCTCTAATCAGTTAACCATTTAAACAAAATATTTTAAATCATTTAAAGGGTTAACTTTTTAAATGGTATTTACATCCCTAATGCCCGATCTGGATAATGATGAATTCCAGGGTTTGGACTGTACACTTATAATGTACAGCCCAGCATGACATTTCAATAACCATCATTTCATGTTTTTCGCTGTGGATGGGAAAGGAATGTTTCTGGCACTTAATCTGACTCATATCTAGGAATGTGGTCACACCCTGAAATAGTTCCATCTGGTACATAATGCAATAACTCCTCTGCTTAGCAACACTGATTACATCACCCCAGTGCTCTGCTCCAACTGAATAAAATCCAATTTGGGGTCTCTGTCCTGATATTCAGAATGGTTCATGGGATTGGTCACTGTTATCCTCTGTCGCCACAGAGGTAGAGGCAATGACCTCCCAGGACACCACTGTTTCATAGGAACAATTAAACTGTTGACCAATAATAGGAGCTTCTGAGTCAGATGACAGAACTTTCACAGGAGCTAGACCTAGACATTGGGATGTTCTTACAAGAAATAAGAATGGTCACAGGGCACACTACTTCAGAACTGAATACAAAACTCACTTTGATCTAATAATCTTCTCAAGAAGCTTTTCACATACACAGAGGCACGACACACGGGTTAATGATTTATCATTATCTCTTGTTCACTTGCTATATTTTAAAACAAAACCTATGCAGCTAATACATGCAATCTCATGATTCCAGCACGGTCATCCTCATCTTTCCACCATGTTCCTCCACTAGCAGCCACCCCTTGTTCCTATTTGGATTGTAAATTCTTTGAGACATGGAACTTATGCTGTTCACTGAGCGTTCTGAGTGCCGGTCGGAAGGCACTGTAGGCAAGGCAGAGATTTGCCCTGCTGTCAGTGGTCAGAATTTGCACTCTTTCCAGCACTATCTTATAGTGTCCTGTGTGCACCTCCTACAGCAGGCCCTCAGTCTTGTTTGGGGTGTCTGAGTGCAGGCACAGCACAGATCATTAATAATAATAAAATAATACACACAAACATCAAAAACCCTATAAACACTTTGCTTCTGTAAAAGAAAAGAGATGGTTATTGATACTTCTGTCAAAATACTTGGGAGGTGCTCAACATGCTAAACGATGAAAGCCACATAAATATGTAGATAAAGATTGCAAATCTATACATCTGGTGGTTCATTTTTTCAGCAGCTATCTTTATTTGAAACATTAGAATCACCACCAAATTTTGGGAGTGCAGGCTCTGGCCAGGAGGCGCCTACCTGCCCAGGCTCTGGCCAGGATCCCTGCCTGCCCTGGCTTCACGCGGCTCTGCTCCCCGAGGTCGCCAGCATACCCGACCCCTAGACAGAGGGGCCAGGCCACTCTGCACTCATACCTGGCCAATGGGAGCTGGGGCAGCGTGCAAAGATTCCCTGAATGCCCGTCACCATGGAGACTTGCCATGGGCTGGATGAAAAGAAGCAGTTGGCCGCATCCAGCCCACGGGCCTGCAGGGCCCCCTTTAGCCCAAGGCTCTAGGCTGCAGCCCCTAAAGCCCCTGCATTAATCCAGCCCTGCCCACACGCTGCAAAGAAAGGCCAAAAGCCTCCAAGGTCACTGCCAACCTGACTTGGGGGGAAATTCCTTCCCAACCCAACATATGGTGATGAGTTAGACTCTGAGCACGTGAGCAAGAACGAGCCAGCCAAACAACCAAAAGACAGAATGCTCGGTACCACCTCAGAGCACTGGCCCACCCCCTTCCATGTACCATCTCCAGCTACCACCATCTCTGTTGCTTCAAAGGAAAGAGACCAAAAAAAAAAAAAAAAACAACCAAACCACCCAACAACCCAGAATATATTTAGGGATGGGAGGAATCCCTTCCTGATCCTTGCAGGGGCTGGCAGTAGTCCTGAAGCATGAGCTTTTAGGAAGAGAAGACACAAACTAGAAGTGAGCCCAAATGTTGCTAAGCCCTGCCCCCTACCATCACAAGCAATCTCATCATACAATTGCATTCATACTTTTCTCCAGCTTGCTCTTAAAACTAATTTAAGTTGTTTGCCCCCACAACTTCGATTGGGAGGCTGATCCTGAACCTCACATCTCTGAAGGTTAGATGATTTCCTCGGACATGTTGGGCAAAGTATTCATTGATGTTGGGCCATACCTATATTTATCTTTAATCTCCTTCCCCATTTCGGCTCCATAGCAGCCCAAACATACTTCCTTATTCGTTTTTTATTTATATAACAAACCATTTTATTATTCAGTTTCCTTAGCAACAGCTAATTCATCTTGACTTTTAGCAATTCTAACTTTATTCCTACATTATCTAACCTCCAAGATGTAGCTTTCTTTGCTGTTCCATTTAATTCCCTATAGGCTCTCTCTCATTCCTGATAGGCTCTCTGGTTACTCCTACTAAACTTTTTGAGGTGGTTATTCATCCACTTGGATCTCGTGCCTTTCCCAACAAGTTTTTTCCCTTGCTTGGGTTGCAAATTTCCATTTTTGTATAGTTGATTTGAAGATATTCCAAGCCTCCTCCATATTTATGTTCTTGAGTTCTTCAGCATGGCTGACACCTTTAACTAATTCCCTTGGTTTCCCAAAGACTGCCCTTTTCAAATAAAAAAAAGAGGATAATTACGTTTTGGGTTAGGGTTAACCCTAATCAAGTTTTGATTATCCTTCCATTTAATTTAAACTGAATCAACTCATGATCACTTAATCCAAGATTATTTCCTATGAGCAGCTCTTTTATGATATCCTCTCTATTTACCAACACCAAGTCTAACTTGCATCATTTCTTGTTGGTTTGGTGATGATTTGAAGAAAACGTATCAGATCCAGCAATCACAGGGCCCTACCACTGTAATTTGCTGTGAAGTTAAAGTCTCCCATTATGGCACAATTCCCAATACTATTCATTGCTCTGATATTATTAGAGCAGTCTCTAGCCATACCCAAGTGGGATCCTGGGGATCTATGGCAGACCTCTATTCCAATCGACCCTCTTTTACAATTCAAAGTGATTTTGACCCAAACTGGTCGTTTTGTCTACACTATCAGCTCCTTATTTCTTAGCTCTGCTGCTGTGCAAAGCTACCCTGCCCCCATAGGAGTGGCTGGTAGAGGAGAGGGCAGATGTTGGGGTCAGTTGCCAGGCAGGGGATAAAGGACAAAGACCCAGGGCTCTGGGCCCCACCGTAGGGCCCGCCTACAGCCTCTCCCTCCCAATACTGCACTGGCCCTTTAACTGCCAACCCATCGCTCATTGGTTGCTGCCGGCAGTGAGAGTTTAGCCAATCAGCTACATGTTTGGAAGTTGGCGTACGGGGGAAGCACCGCAATAGCCAATGGCAGAGGCTGTTCTTGTTCCTAGGAGACCGATGTAAACGGTGCGGCCGCGGGGCCCGTGCTGCTGGGGTTGGGGGCTATGGAGTCTGACGCGGAGAATGGGGAGGACATCGGCCGCCGCGTAGCCGACCTGGAAGTGAGGTGGGGGAGGCCGCTCATAGCCCGCCATGACAGCCCCCGTAGCCGCCTGTGCCCTGCCCAGCCCCCCCCTTAACTCTCAGGTGCCTCCCTGAGCCCCGCCCCTTAGCCCCCTGTGCCCAGCCCCCCTTAGCCCCACGAGCCTGCCTGAACGGCCTGTGTCCTGCCCCCTTAGCCCCCATGTGCCCCACCCCCCCTTAGCCCCACGCGCCTCCCTGAGCTGCCTGTGCCCCGTCCCCTTAGCCCCGCCCCCAGACCCCTTAGCCCCACGAGCCTGCCTGAGCCGCCTGAGCCCCAGCCCCCATGTGCTCCACCCCCCCTTAGCCCCACGCGCCTCCCTGAGCCCCCTTTGCCCCACCCCCCCTTAGCCCCACGCGCCTCCCTGAGCCCCCTGTGCCCCGTCCCCAGTCCCCCTTAGCCCCACATGCCTCCCTGAGCTGCCTATGCCCTGCCCCCTTAGCCCCCATGTGCCCCACCCCCCCCTTAGCCCCACGCGCCTCCCTGAGCTGCCTGTGCCCCGCCCCCTTAGCCCCCATGTGCCCCACCCCCCCCTTAGCCCCACGCGCCTCCCTGAGCTGCCTGTGCCCCGCCCCCTTAGCCCCCATGTGCCCCACCCCTAGCCCCACGAGCCTGCCTGGCCTGAGCCCCAGCCCCCATGTGCTCCACCCCCCCTTAGCCCCACGCGCCTCCCTGAGCCCCCTGTGCCCCGTCCCCTTAGCCCCGCCCCCAGACCCCTTAGCCCCACGAGCCTGCCTGAGCTGCCTGTGCCCCAGCCCCCATGTGCTCCACCCCCCCTTAGCCCCACGCGCCTCCCTGAGCCCCCTGTGCCCCGTCCCCAGTCCCCCTTAGCCCCACATGCCTCCCTGAGCTGCCTATGCCCTGCCACCTTAGCCCCCATGTGCCCCACCCCCAGTCCCCCTTAACCCCACATGCCTCCCTGAGCTGCCTGTGCCCCGCCCCCTTAGCCCCCATGTGCTCCACCCCCAGTCCCCCTTAGCCCCACGAGCCTGCCTGAGCCCTACCCCCTTGACTCCCATGTGCCCCACCCCCCCTTAACCCCACATGCCTCCCTGAGCTGCCTGTGCCCTGCCCCCTTAGCCCCCATGTGCTCCACCCCCAGTCCTCTCAGCCCCATGTGCCTCCCTGAGCTGCCTGTGCCCCGCCCCCGTTAGCCCCCATGTGCTCCAGCCCCCCTTAGCCCCACGAGCCTGCCAGAGCCGCCTGTGCCCTGCCCCCTTAGCCCCCATGTGCTCCACCCCAGTCCCTCTTAGCCCCATGTGCCTCCCTGAGCCCCGCCCCCTTAGCCCCCATGTGCCCCACCCCTAGCCCCACGAGCCTGCCTGAGCCCCCTGTGCCCCGCCCCTTAGCCCCCTGTGCCCAGCCCCCCTTAGCCCCACGAGCCTGCCTGAACGGCCTGTGTCCTGCCTGAACGGCCTTAGCCCGCATGTGCCCCACCCCCCATTCCCCCTTAGCCTCACATGCCTCCCTGAGCCATCTGTGCCCCGCCCCCTTAGCCCCCATGGGCCCCACCCTCAGTCCGCCTTAGCCCCATATGCCTCCCTGAGCCACCTGTGCCCTGCCACCTTAGCCCCCATGTGCCCCACCCCCAGTCCCCCTTAGCCCCCTGTGCCTGCCTGAGCCCCTCAAATAACCCCTATGTGCCCCACTCCCAGTCCCCCTTAGCCCTATGTATCTCCCTGAGCCTCCTGTGCCCCACCCCCTTAACTCTCATGTACTGTACCTCCCTGAGCCTCCAGTGCCCAGCCCAATTAACCTCTCAGTGCCTCCAGTGCCCTGCCCTCAGCTCCCCCAACCTCCATGTGCCCTCCACCCCCTGAGCCCCTCAGCACCCCATTCACCCCATGTGCCCTGTGCTTGAGCCCCTCAGCACCCCATTAGTCCTGTCTGCAGCCCCAGCCATTAACCCCATGTGCCCCCACCTGTATTAACCCCTAGGTGTTCTGCCCTCAGCCCCTGTTCACCTCCATGTGCCCAGCCCCGCATTAACCCTCATGTGCCCTGAACTCTCATGTGCCCCACCCCCATCCTCCTATTAGCCCACAGGTACCGTGCCTCCCGAGTTCCCTATTGATCCTCATGTAGCCTGCCCCCAAGCCACCCTTGTGCTCCAACCCTGAACCCCCATTAACACCTACATGCCCTGCCCCTCAGTCCCACCCCATGCATCCCACCCCTTAAGTCTCTCATCCCTACCCCATTAACCACTATAAAAAGAAAAGGAGAACTTGTGGTACATTAGAGACTAACTAATTTATTTGAGCATAAGCTTTCATGAGCTCAGAGGTGTGAAAAATCCACATCTCTGAGCGGCATACTTAAGCCAATTTAAATCCCTGTGAATTCTTCCATTGACCTAGCTACCGCCTCTCAGAGAGTAGGATTACTTACACCAGGGCAGGAGAATCCCTCTCGTCAGCATAGATAGTGTCTACACTGAAGCACCATAGCAGCTGCAGCTGTGCCACTGTAGTATTTCAAGTGTAGACAAGCCCTAAGTGGTTATAAACTAATATAATCACTGTAATATCTTAGTACTGTACCTCATGGACATGCATGAATTTATATTCATCCCCCACGCCCACCCCATGAGATAGGAATGCATCATCATCCCCATTTTAGACTGAGAACTGAGGCGCAGAGAGATGAAGGGTCTGATCTTTGGAGGTCCTGAGTATCCAAAGAATGCCCAATCTAAGCCAATGGCAACTAGAGGTTCTTGGCCCATCTGAGAATCAAATGCATCCGATGAAGTGAGCTGTAGCTCACGAAAGCTTATGCTCAAATAAATTTGTTAGTCTCTAAGGTGCCACAAGTACTCCTTTTCTTTTTACGGATACAGACTAACACCGCTGCTACTCTGAAACCATTAACCACTAATAATTGGTTAGTCTCTAAGGTGCCACAAGTACTCCTTTTCTATTAACCACTATGTATCTCACCCCTCAGCTCCACCCCACTCGTCATCCTCATGTAACCTGCCTCTGAGCCCCACCCCATTTATCCTGTTTCCGAGCCCCTCAGCCCCCTTGTTAACCACCTGTACCCCACCCTTTAACACCCCCATTAGCCCCTATAGACCCAATCCCCTCAGCCCTTCCCCATTAAACCTCAAGTACCCCACCCCTGAGACCCTCTTCATTAACCCCCGTATACCACGAGCCCCTCTCATCCCATTAACCCCATGTACCCACAGCTCAACCCCCTGTACCCTACGCATAACTCCCATGTGCCCCAGCCCATTAACCCCCATGTACCTCACCCCTCAGAGCCTGCCACCTCACCCTCAGCTCCTATCTCACCTGCTGACCTCCCTATCCCTGAACCCACATACTCAGTCTGTCCCCCTCCCTCAGTTCCATCCTGTCCAGAACTTCTGAGCCCCAATCCCCTAAATTTCTGTAATCCCTCTATATCCCCTGAACTCCATTGTTTCCCACCCCAGTGGCTCTCAACCTCTTTATCTCCTTCCCTCCGCCCTCTCTCCCTGTCTCTGCCAGTCCCTTAAAGATCAGAGATTTGGGATTTTTTGATCCCCACAGACACTACAATTGTCCCACCTGTGTGCAATGAAAATCTTTTTTCTCTCAAAGCGTATGACAGTCCCACAACATCCTTTTTGGCTTTGTGCAAAAATGAATTACAGTCAAATTAATCTATTGCACATGTATATTGGTTGAGATTTCCAAGGGATTTACATACATTTTCTGTTTGATTAATGGAAAATAAGTGTTTAAAACCCCTTTACTGTTTTGAGTCTCTCAGCCATCGTGTCTACCATTACTGATATTTGGAAGCAGAGCCTGCAGTTAGCTTCAGCACTTATTGGAGGAGATAATCATTTAACACTTTATCATCTTCTCTCTCAAAAGCCTCACATTGCAACCACAAGCCTTCTGATCCTCAAATAGTAATATTCCTCTGTCTCTGAAGCTGGCCAGTGCTGTCCCCACCTTCAATCTGAGATCACTCAAAAGACTTGAGGTGACCTCTAGAGCTGGGTGGGAATGGGATTTTCCAATTCATGGAGAAATCTGTGATTCTGAATTTTTTTTCCTATTCTGAACTGGAATGAAAACAAAAAAAATTGAAAATTTCTATGAAACAAAATTCCAACTTTTTCTTTTAAATAAAATTGAAATAGTTTGTTCCAGTTTTGACTTGTTTTATATTATAATATATTTTATATTATATAAAATAAAAAATTCAAATGAGAAGTAGTTTTGAAATGGAACATCATAACATTCGGTCTCGAAAAGGTCAAAATGGAAAGACCTTATCAGAACACTCCATTCTATTTTTTTTCAAAAACAAAGTTTTTTGGAAAACAGCATGTTGCCATGAAATGTTTCGCTTTTGCTGAATCTGCATTTTCTAACAGAAAACCACTTCATCTGACCAGATCTGTCACCTCCCTCCACTGAAATTGAGCTTGTTTGCAGATTGTGACCTGAAATTGAGCTTGTTTGTAGACTGGTCTGATTGTGAAACGGCTTATGATACTTGTGGGTTCTATAAGAATAACATGTACTGCCATCATAGTGACTTTGTGCCTGCATATATGTTGAGACTTTTTTTTTCTCTACGCAGACATCAAAATGTTCTTTTTGATCACTGGTCCAGAACCAGTGCTGGGTAAAAGTGAGTTACTGGTCCTCTGAGCATTCATACAGGTCTGCCAACCTGCCCTGGCTGGCCATAAATCTGGTGCATCTGTAGAGGGCTCAGGAAGAAGCTTACCAGCTTAACTTCTCTTTTCTGATGCCATGTTGCTCAGCTGATCTGTGAGCATGTGTTGATTCCTCAGGGGAGCACAAATGAACTTCTCAAGGAGCAGGTAGCCCTCTGGTGAGTGGGACAGAGAGTAAGAGAAAGCCATCATGTGGGGAAGGGGAGGAGAGCCCTCCACCCAAAAGAAACACTACAAAAAAGGAAAACAGAAAGTAGAAAAATTCACAGAAGTGCTAAGAGAAAAGACCCTGGCGTTGTCTACACTACAAACTTAAGTCAACCTAAGTTAGATTGATATACAGCCACCACAATAATTACTGCAGTGATTCATGTCCACACAATGCCTCCTCTGTTGGTGGTGCTCATCCTCACCAGGAGCACTTCCACTAACTTAACTGTGTGAGGCATAGTGAGGCACTGACAGCTAGAGCCTCCCCACCCACCCTGGTGCCAAAAGCTTGAGCTGTGAACCACATGCAATGGGTTTCACAGCCAACAGGTGATGTAAGTAACACAGTGTCTACACAGACACTGCATCACCCTAACTACATCGATCTATGTGCTACACCTCTTGTGGAGGTGGAGTTATTAGGTCAGTGTAGTGGGCAATTTATATCGGCGGGAGCAATGTTGTAGTGTAGACACTTACAGAGTTAGGTCAGCATAAGCTGCCTTACGTTGACCTAACTCTGTAGTGTAGACCAAGTCTTAGAAAAGGACAGAAGAGAGGGAGAGATTAGGCACAGAATAAAGAAGAGAAGGTGCTAACTGTGGAAGGTACTACACTAAGGGTTAATGGGACAGTGAGGGAACCCGTCTGCCAATCTGTCACAAAACCTTATGACAAAAGAGGCTGAAGAATAAAGATCACAAGTATAAGGTATGTATTTCTAGCTTTAGTACAGTGCTACCCAAACTTTTGAAAGTTTTAAAGCACATACCCTTCAGGAAAATGAAACCAATTCTATCCTCCTTGTAAACCTAACCTGTTGCTAAAGGTCTACCTATCTTAATGTATGCATCTTCCCTGCCTCCAGCCTGTGAAATACTTTAAATGTCTACACTGTTAACTATTGTTGGCATTTGAGTTAGCATGCATTGAAATCAATGGGGCAGTAGAGCTATTGTTTTAAGTCGTCTGTAAATTCGGGCAGATGTTGTTGTCAATTACACTTGGATCAAATTTTAAAGGTTTTTTTTCTGATTGTAAGAGCTAAAGACTAAGGCCTTGTCTGCATTCAAAAGTTGAATCACTTCAACAATGCCGGTATAGTTGAAGTGGTATAGCCACCCTAATGTGGACACAGTTATACTGGGATGAAGGTGCTTTATACCACTATAACTGACTCTTGTGGGAGTAAGAGTTAGTCTAACTACAAAGGCTTTTCCTATATAGCTGTAAGAGCAAGTCCTCTAGTGGAGATGCAGCTGATACCAATAAAAGGAGTCCTGACCTTCCCTGCAGGAGCAGTCCTAGCCATTTTGCTGGCCACAGCAGGAAAAAATTTCACCCCAAGAGGCCAAGCCAAAACAACCCCCACAAAGCTGAGTGGCACAGCAGTATGGTGCCACCTGGAAGTTGGCACTCAGGGAGACTGCCCTGCTTACCTGAACCTAGAACTGGCTCTGCCTCCCTGAGTGACATAAGCTATATCAGGAAAGGGACTCCTATCAGTATAGCTGTGCCTACGCGGGTGGGGAGGAGGGTGAGGGGGGAGGTGTTGCTAGCATAGTTATGTCAGTTGTGGTGTGATATTTTTCCCCCCCACACACTCCTAGCGTAGTCATGCCGGCAAACTTTGCAGTGAAGGTGGCACCTTTATACTGGCATAACTGCATCTACACTGGGGGCTGTGCCATTATAACTCTTTCAGTGAAAAATCACACCCTTAACAGAAATGGTTACAAGCGCTGTGTGTGGACCAGGCAAATTTTTTAAGTGAAATCTGAAACTAGAGAAAAATGCAGACATCTGTCCCAGCTCCTCTTGCTGGTCTTTTGTGCCTCCCCAAATGGGGCATGCCTCATGCTTTGAGAAGTGCTGCTCTAATGATTCGTGATTATGGATCGTGAAACTGTCTCTGGCCCTCCTACTGGTGTTTTTCTGACACGGGTCCAGGACTGAATATAGCAAGTCTCAGGCCTTGGATCACTATAATTTCCGTTTGCTGCCATCCTCTTGTTTCATGTTGTTTTTTTAAATAAAATGTATTTATGTCCAGTGTATAATGCTCCCTTGTTTTTTCCCCAAAGATGGGTTCAGGGATTCACAAACAGAAATGTTGGTTTTGTCAATGACAAGACTATCTGCTACCCCTGTGGCAACTACATCCTTTTTGTTGACATTGAAACAAAGAAGAAGACAGTGCTGAAGTGCAAGAATGGTCACGTTGGAGCCTTTGCAGTGAATGGGAAAAGTCAAGTGGTGGCATTTTCAGACCAGAAGCTAAATCCTGTCATCTATATCTACACTTTTCCAGGACTGGTTAAACGGTCAGAAATAAAAGGTAGTGATGGGGGTTTCCTTTCCTGGTTCCTATTCCATTAAAATAAATACTAAATCATCATCTCATGAAGGGCATTTTGGTAAGAACAGAAACCTCTTAAAATAGCATGGCAGAAAGGTATCTAATGACAGGAGAGATGCAGGGAGCACTATAAAGATCCCTGGACTGCTTTCAAATAAAGACCCAGATCTACAGCCCTTAGATCCGCTACAATCCCACTGAATTTGTAAGCGTGGCTAAGAGCTGAATGAGAGGGCAATATTAAGGGCTTATGCGGTGCCCATGGAAGTCAGTAAGATCTTTGCAATGGATTTCAGTGGGAACAGGGACTGAGTCAGCAGTGCTAGCAGCTTGATTAAAATACCTTGTATTAATATTTGGTCTTTTCCTTCTGAATAAGACAATTAAAGAAACATGCACAATGATTTTCTCAGTAGGCAAAGAAGTTCTCATTGAATTGGGTTTTTTAGGGCATCTGCATCTGAAGAAGTTGGTTTTTAATGTTGTCCTATCCTGACTAAGAAGACTCCATATTTCTTACTCCGTAGAAAGGAACATTGGTTTTGCCATGTCTTACCCTGTTTTATTGCTGGGTATATTACTTTGGAGTACCATACTTCATGGGCTGAGTTAATCACTTGAAGAATGATGTCAGCCTCTCTGTCCTCACAATGGATTCTTTCAAACTATAGAAATCTGAATGGCTCAGCTAAATTCTTTAAAATGCAAACATAGCAGGCAAAAGGCAGCCTTTCTCCAGTTAGAGAGGTGTATTTTGCTTAAGCCTTAAGACTAAGAGCCTAAAGACTCTTCCTTAAATTTGATTTGGTATGCTATGCACAGACTCAACCAGTTGATAATCATTTAGGAGTAAAAACACATACATGTATAGCTTGGTTAACAACAACTAAAGGGGAATATGGCAGTAAACATTTAAGGAGTGTGAACAGCAAAGCAGGAGTGGAGGGCTTTAATGGGATGAAATTAATTAAAGGAAAACATAGGCTGAATAATGGGGAAAATTTCCTACCAATGAGATTAATTAAACTGGAGCAGTCTCCCAGGGAAAGTGGTGGGAAACATAGAATATTAGGGTTGGAAGAGACCTCAGGAGGTCATCTAGTCCAACCCCCTGCTCAAAGCAGGACCAACACCAACCAAATTCTGTTATTTGAGACAGCTCAGTTGATGGTCTTCTGGTTAAAGGGTTGGAAGTTAGGAAATTTGGTTTATATTATTCCCCATTCCACAGTCTTCCTGTGTGATCTTGAGCAAGTCACCTAACCTCTCTATGCCTCAGTTTCCCAATCTGTTGAATGGGGATCTTAATACTTCTCTACTGCCGGGGGCAGCTGGTGAATAAATAAATGTTTGTAAAGCACTTTGAGATCCTTGGAGGGAAAGCACCATAGAAGCACAAAATTTTAATAAAGCAAGGTGGAAAAGCCCAGGAGAATGTTCCATAGGGGGCAGTCATGTGTTGGCTTGGATTGGAGGGGTGAGTGGACATAGATACTTATGAGGACTATTCTATTTCTAGAACAGAAGTATAGAAGCAGTTTTATATCTTCTTTTTTTTTGTTGTTTTTTGTTTTTCTTAAAAACCGTAATGAAAATTGTCTTTGTATGATCAAATCAAAGTGAATAATCATGGATGGAGCAAAGCATCAAGCTTGTGGTTGTCCAAAGTGAAGCCGAAGGCTGACTAAAATCACTGCTATTAATTTTATATTTTAGGGCAGGCTCAGCTGGACTACTCTTTACTTGCATTCAGTTACACGGGTCCTTATCTGGCCAGTTACTCTTCAGTCCCAGAATTTGCTCTTTCAATATGGTAAGTATCAGACCTGTATCTTTAATACTGGATACTTAGGTGAAGGTTTTTATATGTGCACTCCTTGAGCAGAGCTTCAATTCACTGACTTGCCAAGAGAAACCAGTAAGGCCAAATGATGCCTTGGCTTCCTCATTCCTCTCTGATCTGCCACTGTCTGCAAACATTCTCTGCCTGAATTGCCTTGCATTGAGTAGGACTTCATAAAAGATTTATTGTTATTTTGCCATAGCTAATTTCCAGACTGTTTTCTTCAAGATTTTACATTTTGATATATTTATAACAGGAAAATAAGCCTTTCCACCACTTACTTATGTGAACAGTCCTGGAAGCTGACTGCAGTGGTAATTGTGAGAGAAAGCTGCCTGCTAGCTAGAGCACAGGACTGGTAGCCAAAAATTGTTGAGTTCTAATGCTGACTTTCTCGATGGTCCTAGGCAAGCCATTTAACATCCCTGCTCAGCTACTCCCTCTGTAAAATGGGGATAATGAATCTTAATTACTTCATGGGGCTTATATGAGGATTAATTAGTTAAAGTTCGTAAAGCAGATTGGGGATATAAAATGCTTTGTAAATGCTACGTATTTGTTTTCCAATAAAAAGTCTCAGCACTCCTATCAAATCCCTGAGAGTTCCCAGTTTCTCCCTCCTTAAAACACCACCATCCTTGTCACAACTTCCAGCTGAGAACAGGAAAGGGGCTTTAAAGCCCCAACCACTCTTTCATTGTCCTGAGGGTCACATGTATCCATTCAGTCACCTCAGCAGGATCAACTTCCACAGCATTCACAGCTTTGGGATGAAGAGACCTGGACTAGCACTTGAAGCCAGGTGTCTTTCACAGCTGTGCCAAACAGCAGCACTACATGACGTGCTTGAGCCACTTGGTCTGATTATTTGAAGCTTCAGTGCCATGAAAAGACATATGGTGAGATAAGTTGAGGATAATGAAATAGAATTCATTGTTTATTTTTTAAGTTGATCTTTGTGAGCAACTTAAATCCTGCCCCTGCCTTTGTTTCTGGAGTGGTTCCACAGCACAGGGAGGGAGGATCATGGGGCAAGCAGGCATTCACGAGAAGTGTCTATCCTGTGTACAGCTCAGCTCCAAGAGACCCTTGCCTGTACAGGGGCATGTGTGGGGTGAGAAGGCAACTGCCACCTTGAGCATCAGCCCTCACAGAGAGAGCACACCAATCACAACACATTGTTTGTGTTATTCTAGCCAGTCCTTCAGCCACCTGCTGACCAGGCTGTCAGTGGCACTGGACACCGGATTGGCATAGAGCACCGCAGCTCAAAACCTGTGAGCAATCCGCCAGCCTCAGCCTCCCAAGTAACTGGGATTACAGGCATGCGCCACCATGCCCAACCTACTGCGGTAATAATAAATAATAATGATTCTTCTTCTCAGTCCCCAATGGAGAAGAATAACATGCATCACGTACTCTAGCTGTGTGATTCAGCTCAGGATTTAGGCTGAAACATGCTTTACAACAGATAAAGTATGCCAATCACACAACTGACTCTCTGTCTTGAAGAGCAGTCTAAAAGGCATGAACAATGACCATTCAGAACAGAATTAACATGGTTGGCCCAGTTTATGCCTTGCGTACACTTTAAAAGTTCCACCAGTTTAAAAGATTCTGCCAGTCCTGTAAGATAGGAAATTCCACTGGAAATGGTGGAACCTTTCACAGTAGTGGAACTTTGTAAGGTCATCTGCTTTAAGTTTATTTAATCAGCAAAGTGACCCCAGAATGCATTTGACCCCGAGCAGCTAGTTGTCACAATGGAATGACCCACAATTCAAGTCTGAAACAATTTAATAAAAAAAACCAGGATGTTGTTATAATATTAGGCTTTGGTCCTGCAGTGAGCTCCAGTAAGTGCACCTGTGTGAAGTTCATTACAGAATCAGGGCCTTCATCTAAGCAGTCTGATTACCCATCAGTGTGCATTCTTCCTACTTTGAGTACACAGAAATAATATTTTACAGGGTAAAATAGAGCAAAATATTTTTAGTATTTGTTCTGCGATTTCAATATGAAAAGGAGTACTTGTGGCACCTTAGAGACTAACCAATTTATTTGAGCATGAGCTTTCGTGAGCTACAGCTCACTTCATCAGATGTTTACCGTGGAAACTGCAGCAGACTTTATATACACACAGAGAATATGAAACAATACCTCCTCCCACCCCACTGTCCTGCTGGTAATAGCTTATCTAAAATGATCATCAGGTTGGGCCATTTCCAGCACAAATCCAGGTTTTCTCACCCTCCACCCCCCCACACAAATTCACTCTCCTGCTGGTGCTAGCCCATCCAAAGTGACAACTCTTTACATAATCAAGTCGGGCTATTTCCTGCATAGATCAAGGTTTTCTCACATCCCCCCCACCCCCATACACACACAAACTCACTCTCCTGCTGGTAATAGCTCATCTAAACTGACCACTCTCCAAGTTTAAATCCAAGTTAAACCAGAACATCTGGGGGGGGGGGTAGGAAAAAACAAGAGGAAACAAGGGGAAACAGGCTACCTTGCATAATGACTTAGCCACTCCCAGTCTCTATTTAAGCCTAAATTAATAGTATCCAATTTGCAAATGAATTCCAATTCAGCAGTTTCTCACTGGAGTCTGGATTTGAAGTTTTTTTGTTTTAAGATAGCGACCTTCATGTCTGTGATTGCGTGACCAGAGAGATTGAAGTGTTCTCCGACTGGTTTATGAATGTTATAATTCTTGACATCTGATTTGTGTCCATTTATTCTTTTACGTAGAGACTGTCCAGTTTGACCAATGTACATGGCAGAGGGGCATTGCTGGCACATGATGGCATATATCACATTGGTGGATGTGCAGGTGAACGAGCCTCTGATAGTGTGGCTGATGTTATTAGGCCCTGTGATGGTGTCCCCTGAATAGATATGTGGGCACAATTGGCAACGGGCTTTGTTGCAAGGAAAAGTTCCTGGGTTAGTGGTTCTGTTGTGTGGTATGTGGTTGTTGGTGAGTATTTGCTTCAGGTTGCGGGGCTGTCTGTAGGCAAGGACTGGCCTGTCTCCCAAGACTTGTGAGAGTGTTGGGTCATCCTTTAGGATAGGTTGTAGATCCTTAATAATGCGTTGGAGGGGTTTTAGTTGGGGGCTGAAGGTGACCGCTAGTGGCGTTCTGTTATTTTCTTTGTGTGTGACACTACAGTGCTAATAAACAATGGCCACATAAACACCACCCTATACCGGAAACCTACTGACCGCTATTCCTACCTGCATGCCTCCAGCTTTCACCCTGACCACACCACACGATCCATCGTCTACAGCCAAGCTCTGCGATACAACCGCATTTGCTCCAACCCCTCAGACAGAGACAAACACCTACAAGATCTCTGTCAAGCTTTCTTACAACTACAATACCCACCTGCAGAAGTAAAGAGACAGATTGATAGAGCCAGAAGAGTTCCCAGAAGTTACCTACTACAGGACAGGCCTAACAAAGAAAATAACAGAATTTCACCTTCTAACTTCCTTTAATATTAATGGGAGCTACTGAACATGTGTTAATACTAGTGCATCAAGATAAAATACACCCCTTAAATCATGTTTTATTTGTTTCCCAACACCCATTTTTTTCCAGTGTGATATTAATAATTCTCTTGCATCCTGATCAATATCTATAAATGAATTTGTCACAAGCTAAACCAGCAGGATTATACTAAACTCATACACAGTAGCATGTACATGCTAGAGTTCTTCACTTCAACCTTAGTCATACATAATAAAGCTGAAATTCCAACTCCAAGTTCAAGTGACATGCTTTATCAATATATTTTTAAATTGCAAATGTTCATAAGACGTTAGTGTCAAGTATGATGTTCAGGAAATGGTGACTGTTCTCCTTCAATGAGCAATTCCAAGGATAGCATGTGAAAACACAAATGTTTACCTTCTTACCTATAATAATTATAGGATTTTTATCCATACATCTTAAAGCTCTTTTTCAGAGGCCTGTAAGGATTATGGTCCCTGTTCTATAGATAGGAAGACTGAGGAACAGAGCTGGGTGGAGGGAAGTGACTTGTCCAGGATTACACAAAGAATAAATGACAGAGCTAGGGGTAGAGCCTATGTCTCCTGACTCCCAGCCTAATGCCCTGTCCACAAAGCATAGCTGCCTGTGATGCACAGCAGCACTATTTGTTTTGCATATTCTTGTAATGTTTTCTCTTAGTTAGTAGCAATCTTGTTCCTAAACAATATTCATTTGACATATGATTGATTATCCAGCTTCTTCTGTCATTCCCACCAAGAAGAATTAACTTGATTGACAGTTTTTGTCTGTGACAAGGTGCCAGATTCCTGAGGCGTGGAGCATCTGCTACTGCCATGGATGTCAGTCGGCACTTCTCAGGATCGAGTCTAAATGGTCATTCTGAATTTTATGACTTATTTGATACGTTTTTTTAAATTCTCCTTTTTGAAGGGACTGGCAAGAAAATATCCTTTTGTGCAGTAAATCTCAACCAGGTGTGACAGTGACCTCTATGAGCTTTAACCCCATGAACTGGCACCAGCTTTGTTTGTCCAATGAAAACTCTCTTACTGTCTGGAATATCGAAAGGAATGATCAAGAGCATCATCTCAAGTCAAAGTAAGTAACAGACCTTCCAGGCTAAAAGAAAACTATAGAGTTAACTTTATTTTACTAAAAAGAAAAGGAGGACTTGTGGCACCTTAGAGACTAACAAATTTATTTGCGCATAAGCTTTAAGTGAGCTGTAGCTCATGAAAGCTTATGCGCAAATAAATTTGTTAGTCTCTAAGGTGCCAAAAGTCCTCCTTTTCTTTTTGCGGATACAGACTAACACGGCTGCTACTCTGAAACCTTTATTTTAGTGTTTAGGATCACTGACGTATATCCATTTACAAAGACCATGGATCCAATGAAGATTAACTGACAACCCTTTAAATCACAACCAATAAGATCTTTAACTGTCTGTCTCTTGAGTTTTGTGTGTTGAATTTGTGATAACATTTCCTAGTGCTCCGGTCTCCACGTTACAACCATCACTATAGCTGATATGAATGGTCAGATTTGGTATCAGTCTTTGCTAAGAGGCCAAGTATTGAAAGCACATGGAGATGGGACTATCTTCCCACTCCTGCAGGTGGCTTTGCCATTACAGGACTGAGGAATATTGATAGGGCAATGTAGGAAAGCTTGCACTGCTGCTGTTGCATGTGATTACCATGTTTAGATAGAGTTTCTTGCCTGCAAAGATCATTTAGTAAAGTGGAATGTGTGTATTTTAAAGCAGAAGATGTGGTCACAGACTGGTCTGCAAAAAAAAAACAACCCAGGTTGGGTCCAATGCTTGTTCTCTCTGTGATTAACATATCCTGTGTGATGAGTTTACCAGTCCAAAGGTGACTTTTCTAATGCTCACTGTAATTCGCCCAACACTACAGACTCAGGGCTTGTCTACACTTAATAGTTTTGCTGCTTTAACTATACTAGTTGTGTGAGTGTGTGTGTGCGTGTGTGTGAGAGAGAGAGAGAGAAAACAGCAAACCTTGTCTAGTGTGGATGTATAAAAGTGCTTATACTAATATAGCTTATTCCAGTTGAAAACTGAAATAAGTTATACCGATAGAAGGTACCATTATATCATTATCGGGGGTAGCCGTGTTAGTCTGTATCCACAAAAACAGCAAGGAGTCCGGTGGCACCTTAAAGACTAACAGATTTATTTGGGCCACTAAAGCCTATGCCCAAATAAATCTGTTAGTCTTTAAGGTGCCACCGGACTCCTTGTTATTATATCATTATAACAGTCTACACTAGGGCTTTTACCAGCATGCCTATGTCAGCAAAACGTGACAACCCTCACAGACACAGTTTTGCTGGTAAAATGTGTAAGTGTAGACCAGCCTTTCAGAGCCTGTGGGATCTGAAAATCAAGCTGGATTCTTTTTGCTTTTTATCACTATAAAGTTTACTCAGGAAGATGTATTTATTTTTCTCTCTCTTCACTCCAGTTGGCAGGAACTGAATTTGGTTGAAGGATTATTATTTATTTATACATTTTTACATAAAATTTCATTGTCATAAATCTGCATATTCCCCAAACTATTGCAAACTCACCCTCCCTTATACATTTTAATAGGTACTCTGCTATCTGATTGGTGATCATACACAAAAGACACTTTCTGAATACCACTCAGAATGCAACAGGAGAATAATATTTAGAGCATTTTTCATCTTTAAAGCACTTTTCAAACATTAGCAATGAATCTTCACAACTCCCTGCTGGGAGGGTAATTATTAACCCCAATGTACAGATGGGAAAACTGAGACCCAGGGTATGACTATACTGAAATAAAAAACCTGCAGCAGCAAGTCTCAGGGCTCAGTTCAACTGACAGTGGGCCTAAACATAGCAGCGTAGCTGCTCGGGCTGAAGCCGAGGCTCTCAGACCCTCCCCCCTCACAGGATTTCAAAGCCCAGGCTCCAGCCTGTGTCCAAACTTTTTACTGCTATTTTTATCCCTGCAGCCCAAGCGCTGTGACCCTGAGTCAGTTGACCTGGGCTCTGAGACTTGCTGTCTCTGGTCTTTCATCACTATGTAGACATATCCCAAGAGTGATTAAGTTACTTGCCCAAGACAAAAAGGAATCAGTGTCAGAAGCAGACATTGGGATAGAATACAGAAGTTCACCACTGCCAGTTCTGTGCTCAGACCTTCTCCTGAAGTAGAAAGATTATGTGTATGTCTACACTATGGAGACTATATTGGCATAGCTATAGTGGCACAGCTATGTCCACTTAGCCCCATAGCATAGACTCAACCTACACTGACAGAAGGAGTCATTGTAGGAACACTGCCTCCCTGAACGAAGTTAGCTATATTGACAAAAGCCCTCTTCTGTCTACATAGCTGCACCTATACTAGGGATTTTGCTGTCATAGCTACAGTGCTCAGTGGGGGTGTTTTTTTCCATGTCGACATAGCTATGCTGATGTAACTTTTCAGTGTAGACCAGGCCTATTATTCTTTATTACAACAGTATCTGCCATTTAAACTGGTTGTTTACGTCAGTCTTTCATTATTATAATAGAGGTAAAGTGTTTGCATTAGAACGTCAACTAAGGGTCAGAGTCTCCAGGTTTTGAAAACATACTTCCCAGCTATGTATGAGTGTTTATTTTCTGTAAGTGCTTCCTCAGCTCATATGCTATTTCTTTTCCTTTCTGCAGGCCTGTCAGACTCCCTGCCGAAGATGGGTCTCTGATGTATAACCAGGATGTCTTTTTTTCACATCCTGGTATCCAAGACCTCTACTATGGTCCTGTGCTGCCAATTTCAGCCATTGCGGGGCTGGCAGGGGATGAAGCAGAGACATTTAGGGTAATTACCCTCTGCATCTAACTGCTAATATAAAATGTTATGATTGTAATGATACTGACAGATATGAACACAATTCATAATTGAAAGCCTATTAAACTTGCCTGGTCTAGGAAAGGGATATATTCTCTCAGCAATGTTTGTGAAACCCATATTAGCATTAGAATTATAATCACGGGGATGGCTCACTATTTTGTCAGGTCTGAAACACCTAGAATCCCAGATAAATCACATGAGGGCTGACATAGCCCATTTTAACTTTCCAAAGTACCTTGTAGTTCTTTTTCAAGTGGCCTCTGTGTATTCCTATTTGTGGGATATAATGCCTCTGGTGTCAAGCTGCTGAATTTTTCTATGCCCACTGGGGCCATTCACCCCACTCTTGCAGAAGATTTCAAGGGTATAAAAGGGAAATGAGGGGTGGGGGTCTCCATGCACTTCAATTCCATTGTGACCGCAGAAGGTGCAGAGCGATTGTATCACACACACTGTCCTCAACGCTTTCCTCATTGATTTCTTGTAATTTTGCCCTTTGGGGCTATTGTCTTTCTAGTTAGTTAAATTAGCAAATTGTTAGCAAAGGCTGCCTTCAGTCAGAAGAATAAAGAAGAAATGGTGCCTATTGGGCACTGGTACCCTCCGGAAATGCTGCAGGAGTGGGAGGGTCTCACATATGCCTACTGACGGGGGAGGCACCTCAGCCCCAGTCGATGAAGTCTGTAAATGTGTACATCCAGCGTTGACTTGGACATCCACTAGCCTAAGTGGCACTGTGCGGAAGATTTGTGCTCACCAAGGAATTCCCTTCTTACCTCCCTTACCATCTAAAGTAATATTTACCTATGGCAGATTGCAAAGGGTTTTTGCAACTTCTTTGGAGGGTTTATCTCACAGATAATATATATCACTCCCAGGAAGCTTCTCCTACTATTCATTTTAAATTTGTCCCACTACAATTATCTATAATCTGTTTTATTCTATTAAATACTTTTCCTCCTATTAAATACTTTTCCTTCCTTCATGCTTACACGTTTCAAATTCTTGTAGACTCCATTGCATTACCTGGACTGCAGGATTCAAGCTACTATCCCTCATTTAATCACCACTTAGCCAAGCTATTAATATTTAATTCTTTTAATATTTTCTCTTAAATCAGTCCACCTAATTGTTCTCCAGCCTTTTAGGGCCTCCAGGCTCTGGTGCAGATAAAAGCTTCCCCACATAGGGTTCTGGAATAGACAGTGATTTGTTTAGCCGGTAAGACTTTCTCCCATTGATCAAGACCAGAAATTCATCTGCAGAAAAGCACAAATGTCTCACTTTGACAAATACTAAGGAATTTTTTCCTCTCTACTACCTCATATTCAATAAGGACATGTTCCTCCTCTAATTTAAGTTTGTGTGAGGTTTTTCAATTGAATTCAGAGGGACCAGGAGCTTGCCCTCAAGGAAACATTCAACAGACAGGATTCAACAGAAAGGAAGATTTATGTCCTTTGTCAGTAGGTCTGAATCAGATGAGAGGACATTCTTAATATTTATATTTATAGACAACCACTTGCTCCAACTATGCTTCAGAATATGTTGTTGTGGCTGGAGTTGTAACCAAGTGATGCCAAAAAGAGGCAGCAGCATGAAGTTTTTAACCCTCTCTCTTCTTGCACAAGGAGATATTTTCTGTTTCAGTATCTCTTATAGCTAAACCCTGAGTTTTCTGCAATTGCTCAGACTTGGTTTCCAAACATGACCCCTCTTTGTCACCATGCACTGTTAGAGGCCATCAGCTTTCCACAAAATGTTTCATGTCCAGGCTTCTGGGCTTTTCCTCTAGAGAGTGCTATTTAAAGGAACAGAGCTTTAGAAAGCTTATGAATGATTGTACAATTTCACAACACAAACAACAAATGGGAGTGCTTCCTGTGACTCCCTTGTCCTGGGTATGCACGGTGATGGTCCCATTCTGGAATCAGAGCTCTGTGCCTATTATGTATGTTGAGTCATGACCATGATTAGAAATTGACTTTATAACAGATGGCGACTGGACTTGCATAGGAAGCCTCTGAGTCAGAGTAACTCAGCTACTATCTTGCAAAAAAAGATGGGTGGATGTAAAATCTCACAAAATATGTAAAAATACCTGTCTGAAGTCTATGTCTGGATGATATAATGACCATTTCATTAAAGAATCACTAGCATACTCTAGAGTTTATTAATCTCATTTGATTTATAAAATAAATGAGTCCATTGTATTTCTGAAACATCTTCCCTCAAAATGCTTCATAGAGAATAATGGATTGAACCTGACAACACACCTTTGAGGTAGATAAATATCCCATTTTAGAGAGAGAGAGAAAGTGACTTAACCAAAATCACATAGTGAGTCTCTGCCAGATCTTAGAAATAAAACCTAGATACTTCTGATTCTCAGTTCTGTGTTGCCAGCAGAAGAGCATCCATCTTTCCTCTTCCTATACCTTTTGCAAGACTCTGTGTTTTGCAGAATTACAAACCAAGCATATTACTTCATTCCCCACTAAAATGAAGCTACTTTTGGAGTGGGATGTGATTGCTGTTATGGTCTCACAGCAATTCTACATAGGAGTTTTGGGCAAGAAGTGAAGAGTGAAACAACAGTGGAATTTGGCTAGGCAGGTAATCATTGACCAGTGTGGAATTAGGCAAGGAACCCAGGAGTAACACTTCCTACTCTCCATTGAATCTAGAGATGAAAAAGATCTCTTAGGTCATCCTGTCCATCTCTCTGTCAACATAGGATTATTCTCTATTTTACATTTGCTAGTGTTCTGTGAAGATCAGCTTTTCATGTGCCAAGCAACAGGGTTTTTGCAACTTCTTTGGAGGGTTTATCTCACAGATAATATATATCACTCCCAGGAAGCTTCTCCTACTATTCATTTTAAATTTGTCCCACTACAATTATCTATAATCTGTTTTATTCTATTAAATACTTTTCCTCCTATTAAATACTTTTCCTTCCTTCATGCTTACACGTTTCAAATTCTTGTAGACTCCATTGCATTACCTGGACTGCAGGATTCAAGCTACTATCCCTCATTTAATCACCACTTAGCCAAGCTATTAATATTTAATTCTTTTAATATTTTCTCTTAAATCAGTCCACCTAATGGTCTTTGTTGCTTTTCATTGAATTCACTTCAACTTAGCAATACCCATCTGTCCATACTTGTTGGCCCAACTAACAAAGATTCTGAGGCACTCACATACTATAACGCTCTTCTAATGTAGGGAAGTAATATTATCCCCATTTTATAGATTGAGAGCTTAGGCACAGAAAAGCTAGGTGACTTGCCCAAGCTTGCACAGGAAATCTGGCAGAGATGTGCCCAGAATTGATTTGCAGATGACACAAAGATTGGCAAAATGGTAAATAATGATGAGCACAGGGCAGTCTAACAGAGCAGTCTGGATGGTTTGGTAAGCTGTGCCCATGAAAACAAAATACATATTAACACTGACAAGTGCAAGAACATATGTATAGGTATAAAAAATGTAGGGTGTACTTACAGAATGGAGGACTGTGTCCTGGAAAGCAGTGACTCTGAAGAGGATGTAGGTGTCATAGTGGGCAAACAACTCGACATTAGCAACGGTGTGGCTAAAAGGGCTATGCAATCCTTCGATGTCTAAACAGGATAGTAGTGAGTAGAGGGAGAAAGGTGATTTTAGTTCCATAGATAGTATTGGTGAGGCTAATACAAGAATACTACATCCTGTTCTGGTGCCCACATTTTAAAAAGGGTGTTGAAACATTGGAAAGGGTGCAGAAAAGAGCCACAAAAATAATTGAAGGGCTGGAGAAAATGCCTTATAGTGAGATACTTAAAAAGCTCTGCCAGGTTAGTTTATCAAAAAGAAGACTGAGGGGTGACTTGATTACAGGGTATAAATACCTTCACAGGGAGAAGATACCAGATACTAAAGGACTCTTCATTCTAATGGAGAAAGGCATAACAAGAACCAACAGGTGGAAATTAAAGCCAGACAAATTCAAAGTAGAAATAAGGGACAATATTTTAACAGTGAGGGTGATTAACCATTGGAACAAGCTACCAAGGGAAGTAGTGGATTCTCCCTCTCTTGGGTCTTAAAATCTAGACTGGGCCCTTTCTGGAAGATATACTTTAGTCACATGCAAGTTAATGGGCTCAATTAAGAAGTAAGTAGGTGAAATTCTCTGGCCTGCATTATACAGGATGTCACACTAGATGATCTAATGGTACCTTCTGGCCTTAAAATCTCTGAACCTATATATTTATGTATACAAACGTTTGCCACTTTTAACTGAAGCTTGCTGATTTTTATATTGAAGCCTAAAGATGACATCCAGCCTTCAGTCCACCCTACTGTCCACTGCTGGACTGCGACGTCTGACCTGTATATGGGCTGTGAAGAGGGACATTTTTTGGCAATTAATGTTGAGACACTCAAAGCTTCTCTTCTCTATTACAAACCTCCACGAGACACTACAGGTAACAAAGAGCTGCACTGAAGGTTTTTATAGAAATTACATGTTTCTCTTTGTATGTGGTTTCTTCCCTTTTCCATGGGCTTCAATATCTTTTTCCTCTGGCAAAAATATACAAATGCTTCAATGTTGTTTGGTCTTAAAAATGAACAATAATGCTGGTATTGCAGATCTCATTCACAACCCCACAGAACTGATGTAAAAGCACTAGTAGGCCAGACATATACAGACTTATATTATTATTGTTTATTAATGTATTGAGCACCAACAACATGTTTGATGTTACACAAAACCCAGGGCTTGCCTTCACTAGAAAATTAGGTTGTGTTAGAACATGCCCTTGAGGAGTCATGCTAACTAACATGATACGTAACACTACTTTGCCGTCAGTGTAGACAGGGAAAGCTGTGTTTAATGTCATGCCAACTGTTCATGTTAACCATGTAGTTACAGACATGGAAAACATGTCAGTCATTGTCTACATTTACTGCAGAGTTGTGTTTAGCGTTAAGTTAGCTAACATGATTCTTCAAGGTCCTTTTCTAATGCTGCACCGAGTATTCCTGGCTTTCCAAAGTATTGTCCCTCACTTAAAGTGTGGTGATTAATCCAGATACAGAGGGTATTGTTTTGGAGGGTTTTTTTAACAAAAAGTGCTGTGTTAATCCCCTGGCTATGATCTCATTATTTATTGTCACAAGTCAAACAAGGTAAGTATTTGGAGTTCTCCAAGAAAAGTTCGGGATTTGCCAATTCAGGAGGTTGCACCTTTCGGTGCTTCAGTTGGCCACAGTGTTCTTCTTTGCTTCCTGTTCTAAACTATTGTGCAGTGCTGTTATATGCTCTTAGGCCCCAATTCACTTTAAATTAAGCATGTGCTTAAGTACTTTGTATGTGATTAAGACCTTTGCTACTTAGCAAAGCACTTAATTACATGCTCAACTTTAAGCACATGCTGAAGTCCCATTGAATAAAAAAAAAACATTAAGCATGTGTTCAATCAATCCCTTTAACAGCTGCCACATTTCACCTGAACGTTTTTGGGGTAGCTGAAGTTCCTCTATCCTAGATTAATCAAATATGATAACCTAAGTAAACAATAACAACATTTTCATTAGAATATATACTGATTTCCATCTATAGATCTCAAAATGGTGGGCAGAGACCTGTCAGGGATTTTCTAGACCAGGGGTGGGCAAACTTTTTGGCCCGAGGGCCACACTGGGGTGCGAAACTGCATGGAGGGCCGGGTAGGGAAGGCTGTGCCTGCCCAAATAGCCTGCCCCCCGCCCCCTATCTGACCCCTCCCACTTCCCACCCCATGACTGCCCCCCTCAAAACCCCAGACCCATCCAACCCTCCCCTGCTCCTTGTCCCCTGACCGCCCCCTCCTGGGACCCCTGCCCCTAACTGCCCCCCGGGACCCCACCCCCTATCCAAACCCCCTCTGCTCCCTGTCCCTTGACTGCCCCTCCCCCTATCCTCACCTCCTAACAGCCCCCTATCCAACCGCCCTCTGCTCCCTGTCTCCTGACTGTCCCCTGGAACCCCTTGCCCCTTATCCAACCCCCCGGGCCCGGCCCCCTTACTATGCTGCTCAGAGAAGCATGTCTGGCAGCTGCGCCACCCGGACAGAGCCAGACACAGTGCCGCACTGCCCTGCATGAGCTCGCAGCCCCGCCGCCCAGAACGCTGCCCATGCAGCGGCGTGGCTGCAGGGGAGGGGGGCCAGCAGAGGAGGGGCCGGGGTCTAGCCTCCCCTGCTGGGAGCTCAGGGGCCGGGCAGAATGGTCCCACGGGCCGCATGTGGCCCGCAGCCTGTAGTTTGCCCACCTCTAGTCTAGACTCTAGATAATACTTAGTCCTGCCTCACTGAAGGGACTGGACTAGATGCTGTCGAGGTCCCTTCCAATCATATGTCTATGATTGTTATTCTCATTTTACTGATGGGGTAACTGAGCCACAGAAACATTGTGACTTGCCCACAGACACACAGATGAATTAATTGGTAGAAACAGGAAAAGAACCCAGGTCTCCTGATGCCTAGCTCTCTGTTCAGTAGACTAGGCTACAGCTAGCCCTTAGTGCAACATTCACATATTCGGTACATGCACTGTAGTTAACACTTTAATTTGTTTCTTTTTCTTTATGCAGAACGAAGGCGAACACAATTTCATTCCTTACCACTTCTTTCTGATGATAGTTTGAAAAACGAAGGTATTTGCTTGTTTAAATGCAGTTGGTTTTTTGTTTGTTTTTGTTTTTTTAAAGGCTGCACCAGTGGCTGCTGAGAGTCATAATACATGTCAGTACAACTCCATCATAGGTAGAGCATTGGCTAGAAGGATACTGATGTTCAGTGACCTGCGAGAGACAATTTAATGGCATGAGGTCAGGTATCTAAATCACAAAAGTCATCAACACGATTGGTACTAATGGAAAGCCATTTTGACAGCCTCAACAGAGACAATGAAACTGGACGTATTTGTTTTGTGTTGATTCTAATTTACACTGATGTGAGATCAGACTCAGGCCCCTACATTTTGTTTAGAACCACTGAAAATTATTTGTTGTTTATATAGCACTAACTTTGTACGAGGCACTCTTTCTCAATTACTATTGGGAAACTTAAAAAAAATCTGTTTTGTCTTGGTGACTGTTCAGTGGCCTATACAAAATAAATGAACAATCTCAGTTCAGTTTGTAATGGACAGGTGTCCACATCACTAAAGCCACAACTGACACTAATTGGCCTTCTCCTTGCTAGACTGAGCTACTTCCTCACCCATAAATGTAATCCCTCTCAAATCAAGGTTGAGGCACATCCTGGGGAGTGTGGAGGTAACTAGCCCTGTGACTACTTGTGCTATAGTTTTTTTCAGCCTCCCAGGTTGTCAGTCTGTCATATTTCACAAGCAGTACATTCAATGAGATATTTAAGAGCTAAGCCATTTTCAAAAACATGAAATGTTTTTGCTTTTGCAGAAGACAAACGGAGAAAACAAAAACCTGTTCTGCTTGCTATGGCATATCATAAGGATGGACTATATGCAGCTGGAAGTGTAAGGCATCCCTCATTCTTTGAACCAGGCCTATTGTGTGAAAACCTAAACCGAAGCATATTCGAGTGAAATGCGCTCACAGAACCCCTAGCATGGGCAGAAGTGAGAAGAAGAAAAGAGCTGTAGAACTAGGAAATGTCTCTCTAGTGTTGTACGTACTTTGCTGTTTAAGATTTGGGACAACAAATCTGGAGGGGAAGAATCCATTTTTTCATAGTCTAACAAGCAAGTAGTGACTAAGCTCCCAGTGTTTAACAACGATAGGCAGCAAATAAAGAGCTTTTCTTTGGAGAACTCGTAAAGGGTTGTAAAGAGATATGAAAGAATTAGAATGGACGTAGAATGGAAGAGGAGAAAGAGAATTTCCAAGATAACTGCCCAGTCGTGTTGTGCTCAGAAGTCCGCTCTGCCTTTATGTATGATATAACTTAACGATACATGTCTTGGTTATTCTTTAACAAAAACCCATTAGGCCAAATTCAGCTTGTGTTACTCCTATGAGATCTTAGTGAAATCAAATGGGGTACGTAGTATAACTGGTAACAGAATCTGACCCATTGCAATTAAACTTGAATTATTTTTAAGTCTAGATTTTTAAGAAATATTTTAGTTTATCTTCATTTCTGGCATCATGCAGTATTTCAGTCTAGGTGTCCCATACTCAGGGACAAGATAAAGGTTAATAAGACCAACAATGACAGGAATCAGTGGAATTATCTTGACCCTTCCCACAGCATTTCTTAGATGTTTACACAGTGCAGTTTTGCTGTAACTGGTTAGGATAAGTGGTCTAGATCTGATTTGCATTTGCATTTATCTTTTCTGTTTAGGATGGTATTGTGCACTTTTACCAAATCAAAGGCACACACTATCAGATGGATAATTGCTTTGATGTATCAGAACCCATAATCAGCCTCGTTTTCTCCCCTGACTACAACATATTACTAGTAGAAACAGACAAGGTACAGTATTAGGTAATGAGGTGCCCATGTCAGGTTACATAGCACCTGCATGACATTTTTACTATCACTGGGCTAAATTCATCCCTAGTGTAACCCCACTAAAGTCAATGGCATTACACCAGAGGTGAATTTGGCCCAATGTGCATGTGTGAGAGAAGCACAAACCAATTGATTTCTGAAGATGGTGGATTGTACCATATAATTTTTACCTGACTCTTATGTATGATTCTGTGACTTACTGGTCAGCACGGAAGTCTGGAAGCCAATGGGATCACTTGAACTATGTACATAAATCTGTGCAGAATCGAGGCCTAAGGGAATAATTCAATTCCCTCAGAAAAGGAAGAGGAAAATTTAAGTTCTCTCTCTTCTGAGAAGTCATATTTTCCAGTCATATCATTTTAGTTGGCTTTTTTATAATTCTACAAAGTTTTAATATTTTTAATGTGAAAACCATAATAGCACAGGAGAGAGAAAAAATAATATCCTGGGTAAGAGGATGGAGCAAGAGATTGGAAGTCAGGATTTCTGGGGTCTGTTCCTAGCACTGGCACAGTGACCATGATCATTCACTCGTCTTCTCTACGCCTGAGTTTCCCCTTCTGTAAAATGAATTAATATTGCATCCCTATCTCACTGGGGTAATGTGAGGATTAATTAATAAATGTTTCCCAAATGCCTTGAGATATTCAGATAAAATAATATGCACTCTAAAAGGTTTATGTTTTGTTTTGTTTTAAAATACTTTATTGGTTCTTGAAATAAATTAAACAGAGTTTGCTTTAATTTTATTTCAGTCATTTTCTGAAATTGTCCACTAACTTTGGGGGAACTACATTGATTTACATCAGCTGAGTCTTTTTCCTCAATTCGGAGACATCTGTAAAAGTTTAAAGAGCAAAGTTCAGAAAGATGGGTGGTTTTTGTTGGTGTGATTGAGGACTCTTACAGAATGCTTTATAGCCAAATGATGGATTGTCATTTATATTTGTCAGGGATCAGTCTATGTCTATAAACCTTCACAGAATGAGAAAGTCATCAAACTCTTGGATGCATGCAATGATCATTTCCTGTCAGCTGATTTTCTTACTCCAGGGAACAAGTATTGTGTGGTAAGGAACTCTCTCCTTTGTTATACATAAGTGGTTATCCTCAACTAAGAATAATAGATAACCAAAATATTGCTATGGCAACCTACAAAGCATAGAAGCAGATGTGCTGCAGAGGCTGGGGCTCATATTCTGATATCAGTCACATCAGTGTAGATCCAGAGTAACTCCATTAAAGTGAGTGGAGTTATTCCAGGTCTAGGTTAGTGTAAACGAGAACAGACTCTGGCCTTGCATTCTTTGAAGAAATGTGGTTAAGCCACAGATTGTTCAGTTCTTATCTGGACTCTCCTATTGATTCACTATGTGGCCTTGGAAACGTCACTCTGTATGGGCCAAGTTCATAACACGGCTGGAGGTGGGCTCAATACAGAGAATGGAAGTTGAAGGAGGTAGCTTTCTAGCACCCTAGCCACCACACCTGTGCTGGGACTCCCACTGGCCTATTCAGCCCTCAGTGCAAGTTCGAGCAGCCTGAGAGACTATCTATCCTGTGCCGAGCTATCCACAGCCCCCAGGGGCCTTTTCCACAGCCAGGGCATAGCAGTGCCATGACCGTGCCTCACTCATCATGAAAACACCCTGACATTCCCCATGTGGCAGGGACTTTTCCAGGAGATAGTGTACAGCCAGCTACCCTGATTCTTTACCAGCCAAGGAAGTCCCCAGAGAGCCAGCATAAAGGAGCCTTGAGGTGCTGATGAATCAGTTGTGTGGGTCTCCTCATTTTTAGCAAAGGGATGATAATCCTTACCTGCCTCATGGGAGAATTATGAGTTAATTAATTCATATTTGTACAGTACTCTGAAGATTTAAATAATTAGATGCAAGGTGCTGAGCACTTTTATGACATAAGTCTCTTCTTGTCCAAAGACCAAGTCCTCTTTTTCAGGCACGTTTACCAGGAAAAATTGTGAGCGTTTTTCTACACTGCTGGCTGAATGGTGGAGGTGGAAGTGCTAATGTAGATCAGGCACGTATGTTACCAGTGCATCATCTAATCCTGCTCCGAGCACCATCGCTGGAGCTGCACTAGTGCGAAAATGCTTACAAATTTTCCGAGTATAGATGCATCCCTAAAGGAACGTGATTAATAGCACTGTGTGTGACACTGCTGTGATTGTTCAAAACTAAACCAGCATCTTTTTGTCTGCTATGCCCTGTCATCAGCCTGGTTAATTTTCCATAGAAAGCCACTGCCCACTTCATGTCCATTTTTTCCACTCTAATCGGTCTCTTCTTCTTTAACAGTCTGTAGCAATTTCAGGGGAAGTGCATGTTTGGCTGCTGGAGGATGGAGCTTTCATCAGCAAGCTCTGCCTGAATACACAGGTACTGATTACTGGAAATTGAGGTTTAAACCTTTTTTAGTCATCAAATAAAAATGAGAATTTTTTTTTGCAAAATATACCAAAAAATGCCTTAGATTTACCATTTTAATAATGCTGAAAATTTGTTTCTGAAAAGCCCAGTGAATCATAAAGATCTCCTGAATATGGGGATCTCATACCCAGGGCCCACAACTACAAAGATGGCCAAATTTTTTATATTGTTTAAAGAAAATAATTTCTAAAACATTGGTTGTGGTGGTACCGCAATACCTTTCAGTCACTTCACCCAATTCATCTGTGTGCTATCTCCCAGGATTCTCCATAGCAAAAAACCAGAAGTCTCTTCAGGTTTAGTTTAGTCTAATAGATAGAGTGCTAGACTAAAATTCAGGAGATTTTGGTTCTTTTTCTTGCTCTGCCACTGTCCTGCTGGATGATCTTGCCCAAGTCAGTTCATCACTCTGTTCCATAATGTCCCCATCTGTAAAATATGGGGACTTTGTGCTGACTTACACCAGCAGAGGAATGGCTAGTGCATTTCACTTGACTCCAGCTGGCCATATTTTACAAAATATCTGAAAACTGAAAACCATTCATCAGCAGTATTCTAGGCTTGTCCACCATTCAGCTGAACTGTTCCATGACAGTCTTTACCAAGAAGACCACTGGAAAGAAAATTATATTTTTTAAAATTTTAATTAAGATAATAATCCCAAAGGATTATTAGTAATAAAGGCTTCATATTTGCTGTGAGACAAAAGCCTTTGCACATGGTCTTTAGTGATCAGGATCTTAATAATTCTCATTCAGAGCAAAACGCTTTCTATGCATGAAGAAACCTCTGAGGATTTCATGACACTTTAAAAGGAGTTTTTGTTAACCAAAAGAAATGCTGTTCTTTGTGAAGAATAACCAAAATTCTTGCTGATAACCAAAGAATGATAGCATTTAGTGTTGAATTCAGACCTTTGTTTCATGTTTGATGTTCTGCTTTCTGGCAGAGAGACCAAAAATTTCCAGTCCCACTTTTTTAGAATCTCAAGGTTGTAACTTTGTTAAAATACAAGACAGTGATAATTGCATTTTAACAATGATTATTTTGACTTTTTTGAAACTTTACAAAAGTATTTTGGTCTTTAAAAAACCAAACCAGCCAACCAACTTTACCATTCATCTTTAATTTAAAAATGTTGAATCAACTAATTTGATCCAAAGACCCTGATCCAAAGACTAGGTAGGGACCCTGCCTTCATTTTCAGTTTGGGAAGAATATACACAGTGTGGGTGCTACTGAAAATAAGTACTACTATCACTAATAATAACAATAAATTAATTAATGTTCTTGTAGAGATGCCAAAATCTCAAGCCAGTGGTCTATTAGAAACATGCCCAAAACACCCCTTACTGACAAGACCTGTGGACCCTACACATGCCTATCACAACACATGGTGTACTTCATCCAGTGCACTAAATGGCTCAATAACAATTATGTGGGTGAAACCAGATAATCTCTATGCTCTCAAATGAACTCATACAGGAAAATGATAAAAGACAAGAACACCACCTGTAGGTGACTGCTTTTTACAAAGCGATCACTATATATCTGATCTCTGAGTCCTCATCCTCAAAGGAAACCTGCATAATACTTTCAAAAGATGGGCCTGGGAGCTTAAATTCATTACTGTGCTAGACACCAAAAATCATGGACTGAATAGGGACACTCGATTTATGGCTTATTACAAGAGTCTGTAACCCACTAATCGCCCTTTTTTGTTCTATGACTGCAGAGGAGTAAGCAGGCCGCTCTACCTTGAATGGTCCCTTACAATATGTGCTAACTACTTACGTTGAACAATCTGTTCCACCTTGCATTTAGCTGTGACACTGGGAGTTCCTTTCCCAGACCTGAAGAAGAGTTCTGTGTGGTTCAAAAGCTGTACATCAGCATAACTTAGGTTGACTTAATTTTGTGGTATAGACTTGCCTGAAGTGTATTCTGTACTAAATGAAAAGCAAAAAGCTTATATTTACACAGCACCTTCAATATGAGGGGTTTAAAGTGATTTATAGCCATTACTGATATCTCCTTAGTGCCTGAGTTTTACATCTGACAGAATGGAAGCACAGAGAGGTTAAGTATGTCCAAAATATTAGTATCAGAGCCAGGAATAGAACCTAGAAGTCCCATGTTCTAGACATTGGAAAACACTTCCTTTCTTTTAAACACCACTGTGTATGTTAGATTTGTTTTGTATTTGTTTTTGAATAATTCCATTTTACACTGATCTTTTTAAAGACTGATATATAGCACCCTAATTTTGCATGGGTCTCGAGTTAAAAATATCAGAAGAGTCAGGTTGCAAATCATGTAAGTTTCATGTGTAAAGTTATCATAGAACATAAGACTGTGACAGTGTAATCAACCAGTCCAACTTTTCTTTTTGATAGCTGTTTATTATTTTTACTTGTGTAGTTCTCTCCTGATATTTAAATTAAACTAAGCCTGTAGCATCTTTGCCCCAACAGTCCTTGACTCTGGCAAAGGGTCTGATGGTTTGATTGTACTAGAAAACTCCTTGCATGAACTGTTTGTTTACCCATTTACAGGAACTGCTCCCATTTACAGGAAAAGTGTTACTTAACCCCTTACAAAAATTAACAAATTAATCTACTCACTGGGCAGAATATTAAGTTCTTTGCCTTCGCTGTGGGTTCCTACTTACTCTATCTGATCACTACTAATGGCGCACCAAAGACCACATACTAAACTACAATTTTGATTTTAAGATGTTTTCTATTTTACAACTGTGTTTTTGCTTTTTTGCATTAAAAGGATCTTCAAATACCAATTAAATTGTTGCATATTCTTGCATCAGCCTTGTACTAAAGTGTTGGACTACTATATAGGGTGCTCAGGTTTGAGTCCTAGTCGCTTGCTTTCCTGGACTGGAAGTGCTGGGCAAGCTGCACATTATGCTCTGGTGGTTCTGATTTCATATAAATTTTTTTATTTTGAAATCTCAAAATTTTTCATGGTTGGCAAAAAAGTTTCTGACCTGCTCTACTCATTAGCCAACCTCTCTGATCCGTTTAGAAGCACACTGACTGATTGTGGATATGATGCAGGGCCTTAAGGATGAGGGTATATAAACCTTGGGATGGGGATGGTCTTTAAGAATCTAGTACTGCATTCATGGGGAAAAGGGGGCATAATGTTTTTAATGACCCTTTTTTGTGACTCTGATTAAGTCAAAATTTTCTTTACATAGATCACTTATTGCTATTTTTTAGATGTGAGAGAACTTTGCATAATAGAGCAAGTTTCATAGTAAGATGTTGCAGTACAATTAAGTGTATTTTACTATTTAACTAGGCAACTGCTATGGTTTGCTGCCCCTCCTCATATAGTGTTGCTGTGGGGACCAAAGTGGGTCATGTCTATTTCATTGATGTTACCAAAGTTGAAACGCCACGGGTGGTTCACAGAGTTCTTCTTTCCAACTTACCTGTGCAGCATCTGCAGTAAGTATGTAGTAGCAGAGGGAAGAGGTATTGTCAGCAGATAGCCTGAATAATGTGTGTGTTGAGAAATCTATGTGCACTTTTTTGTGTATTCCTCAAGAGAGTTTGCATGTCAGATGAGACACTGTGGACTAGATTCATGAAAAGAATAATGGATGACAATATAACATGCTATGGTGCTCATCATCCTGTAGGATCCAAAAGTGGCTTACAACTACAGACATGTAGCAACCACTTCATTGTTGAATGAAGCCACTTCTGCCAGAGTTGGAGTATAACAAACAGGTGGACAGCTGATGCAGACACACTACACAATAGTAGGTGGGGCGGGACTTTGGTTGAGGGCAATGGAATAAACCCATGTTCTTACGAAAAATGCCACAAAGAGCAGGAAATATATTAATATATAAGGTCCTATCTGACAGCTTCGCCACACACTAAGTTCCATGTAATTACATATCTAACTTGGGAGGATGAAGGGGTGAGTCAGTCCTGCAGTGATTCAGACCTGTGGTTCCAGGAAATGGAGACATCTCTAATCTGATGCTTAAAGCTCTGAGCTATCCCTTCTCACATGATGGATGTTTTTATTACTATTTATTATTATTCTGTTAACATTTCACAAATGTAATTATTCCTATACAATTAGCACTAGGGATCTTATATTGTTGGATTTAAAAAAATGTCAATATTTAATAGTGACCCGTAGAGATAATCATTAATCTACTTTAACATTTTAATAAATGGGATTGATATTGGATTTGTTAAACATTAAAAAAAACTATTATTTGAGAGATCAGATGTGACATCTCTTCATTATTATCTCTAAAGTAAAACATTAACAATTCATATATTGAGTAAATGATTTTAAAGGTGTATCAATACATATAGAGACAGAGAGCATATAATATAAAAAGTCTGCTTAGAAGTCTCTGAAAAAGAGGTGGATTAAAAGGAATGAAAGATTTTATAATGTAACCAAACTATTGTGTAATATTACTAGGTTTACATCAAACGCCCACTGAAGTAAACAGAAATGGCTCCCATTGACTTTAATGGGCTTTGGATCAGGCCTGAGCCAAGTAAACCCTACAGGCTAAATCTCTGTTACAGTATGGACCCCACTGAAACCAGTAGGGTTACACGAGTGTAACTCAGAGCAGAACTTGGCCTTTTGAATTGAATTGTATCAGGTGAAATACTGTGATTAGACTATAATGGACAAAAACTGTGTTAAAGTGGAATTCTGTTTTGTCTAGATATGATCAGAGTGGTCAGTACCTCATAACTGGAGCTGCAGAAGGACATATCTTTATTTTAGATGCCCGGCCCTCAAAATTATTCCAGGTTCTTGGATACTTAGGTAATATATGTAACAGAATATAATATCTAATATTAATTGCATTGTATTTTGTTTATGCTGTTATTTAGAAACTAAAGTTTTTAATACAAGGATGGAATTGGGGTGAAGGATTGCAGCCCTGGTGACTTTACTTCTTTAAATGGTGCTCTGTATTTTTTCCCGATAAATGCCATTTTGTTGTATTGGTTTTTTTTTTCTTTTTGATGACTTTCTACAACAATCTCTCATGTGCAGTAGTCTTTTGTTTGGCACCTTATCACACTATAGCACTCTTCTGAACAAATACACTTTACTGTTAAACAACAGAGTTTGTTGCAGTTTTAAATCCTGTATTCTGGGAGCTCCTCCATAACCTAGACACCTTTTCCTGAGGGTGCACATGTACTGCACTTGCAAATTCAGATATAAGCCATTCTGCATGAATGTTGTGTTTTCATCTAGTTGGGACTGGCCCTAACCATTTTTTCCTCTAATTTTCGTTCCCACCAGTGTGGCTTCCCCATCATAGGCCAGAAGAGTTACTGGTGAGCAGAATAAAGCATTTGTTCCAGCTTCCCACCCAAGAAGCTGAGAATGGTGCCAGCAAAGCACTCCCAGACTCTTATGGTCCAGTAAGTGAGGGACTGGGACTGATAGCAAGTCTGGCTATCATCTGTCCAAAGGCCTATCCCACATCACTTGAACATGGGGACTGACGGAACTGTCAGTTTTGTTGATTGATACTGAAGAAGACAAAATGATAGACTGGAGAACTACAAAAGTACAATGTGTAAACGCTATTCCCATTGTTCTCAAATGCTTACAGCAAGTCTTATTCATCCAGTGATAAAGATACATGTAAGCCTAATGCTCTTACTTCAGTGATAAACTCTGATTTAATGCTTTGCTTCATTCATGTACTTAAGCTGAAATGTTCAGTCTCAGTTGACCTCACCCTGATATAGACTTGCTTCCCTTACTTTTTCTTTTGCTATGAAGGGTGATTTTTAATATGGATTAGCCACATGCAATAAGCAAACACAACCTTTTGCAGACTGGCCGTGTTAACTTTTTCTGTTGATAAATCATCAAGGCCCCAGTGCTGCAGAACACATAAGCACATGCTTTACTCTATCCCTATTCAGCACTTAAGCATGTGTTTCAATTTAAGCAGGTGCTTAAATCCTTTTAAGTCTAAGTGAGCAATTAATTCAAGGTTAAAGATGAAATTTCCACCATGTGTCTTTGAGTTGGTTCTTTACGTACTTTAACTCATGAAAAGGATCCTTCTGAAAGCTGAAACCTTATATGTATATAACCCACTGGTGGTATTAATATTTTTAATGGTGTGGTATCCATGTCTTAATTTTGAGCCTAAATATGTTATGGTGGTGGTTTAATTTAATTTGAATTCCATTATGGTGGCATTTGGATGGATCATATACAAAGTAGGGCTGTCAAGCAATTAAAAATTAATTGTGATTAGTCGCGCAATTAAAAAAATTAATAGAGATTAATTGTGCGATTAATCACACTGTTAATAATAGAATACCATTTATTTAAATATTTTTGGATGTTTTCTACATTTTCAAATATATTTATTTCAATTACAACACAGAATACAAAGTATACAGTGCTCACTTTATATTTTTTATTACAAATATTTGCACTGTAAAAAACAAAATAAATAGTATTTATTTACCTAATTTATTGAGTATATAGTTATTCACCTAATACAAATACTATAGTGCCATCTCTTTATCATGAAAGTTGAACTTACAAATTTAGAATTATGTACAAAAAAACTCTGCATTCAAAAATAAAACAATGTAAAATTTTCGAGCCTACAAGTCCACTCAGTCCTATTTCTTGTTCAGCCAGTTGCTCAGACAAACAGGTTTGTTTACATTTGCAGAAGATAATGCTGCCCGCTTCTTGTTTATAATGTCACCTGAAAGTGAGAACAGGCATTCTCATGGCACTGTTGTAGCTGATGTCGCAAGCTATTTATATGCCACATGTGCTAAAGTTTCATATGTTCCTTCATGCTTCAACCACCATTCCAGAGGACATGCGTCCATGCTGATGACGGGTTCTGCTTGATAACAGTCCAAAGCAGAGCGGACCGATGCATGTTCATTTTCATCATCTGAGTCAGATGCCACCAGCAGAAGGTTGATTTTCTTTCTTGGTGGTTCGGGTTCTGTAGTTTCCACAGTGTTGCTCTTCTAAGACTTCTGAAAGCATGCTCCACACCTCATCCCTCTCAGATTTTGGAATGCACTTCGGATTCTTAAACCTTGGGTTGAGTGCTGTAGTTTGTCTTTAGAAATCTGACATTGGTACCTTCTTTGCGTTTTGTCAGATCTGCAGTGAAAGTGTTTTTAAAATGAACAACATGTGTTGAGTCATTATCCGAGACTACTATAACATAAAATATTTGGCAGAATACGGGTAAAACAGGGCCAGAGACATACAGTTCTCCCACAGGGAGTTCAGTCACAAATGTAATTAACACCTTATTTTTATAATGAATGTCATCAGCATGGAAGCATGTCCTCTGGAATGGTGGCCGAAGCAAGAAGGGTCATACAAATGTTTAGCATATCTGGCATGTAAATACCTTGCAATGCTGGCTACAAAAGTTCCATGCGAACCCCTGTTCTCACTTTCTGGTGACACTGTAAATAAGAAGTGGGCAGCTTTAGTTCCCATAAATGTAAACAAACTTGTTTGTCTTAGCAATTGGCTGAAAAAGAAGTAGGACTGAGTGGACTTGTAGGCTGTAAAGTTTTACATTGTTTTATTTTTGAATGTAGTTATGTAACAAAAAAAACTATTATTAAGTTGCACTTTCACGATAAAGAGATTGCACTATAGTATTGTATGAGGCGAACTGAAAAATACCATTTACCATTTTTACAGTGAAAATATTTGTAATGAAAAATAATATAAAGTGAGCAGTGTATACTTTGTATTCTGTGTTGTAATTGAAATCAATATATTTGAAAATGTAGAAAAACATCCAAAAATATTTAATAAATTTCAATTAGTATGCTACTGTTTAACAGTGAGATTAAAACTGTGATTACTTGCGATTTAATTTTTTTGAGTTAATCGAGTGAGTTAACTGGGATTAATCAACAGCCCTAATATGAAGTTTCATTGATTGTAATATCCCTGAGAATTAGATTTGGTCTAAAATGGTATCCCCTGGAATAATTTCAAAATTTGCGTAATCACAGTCCAAATATGGATGGCTGACCTTTTCCATGCCTTGTCACGTTTCACCCAATGATTATCAGCAGCATCTCTCCAGAATTGTTCAAATTTGCTCAAATTGCAAGTCACTTAACCTATCAGATCAGCTTAAGTCTCAACATTTCAGTGGGATGAAAAGCCTGAGCTTTTCAGAGGTGCGGAGCATCTGCAGCACCTATTGACTTTAGTTGGAATTGTGGGTATTTAGTATTTTTGAAAATCAGTTCCCAGCAGTGCTGATTTTCTCAATTTAAATAAAGTAACTTAAGTGCAAGTACAATATGATTATGACATGTTCTGAATCTTCATTCCACAATGTGCTTCGCATGGGAGCTCAACAGAAACAAATACAACTTGATGCAATAACTGGCTTAAGTGTTGGTCTCCATCTACTTTCAGTGATGAGTAGTGAAGTCCTAGGCCTTTCTACAATATATGATGTGGAGAGTGAATTAGTTGAGGTGATGGCACTCCTTTGTCCACCAGACCTCAGAAGAGCAAGACTGGAAATCTTTTGTCTGCCTTCAGCAATCACAATAGGTAAAAATGAAATATATTTCTTGTGTGATATTCCTTGAGACATGTGTACACTTTTGTCATCCCTTGCATAAAGCACTACTGCTCCAATCTGTTTTTTCTATCTACTTTATAGACCCTCCCAGTGTACCATTTCTAGTATCCCTTAATCAGCTGACTCATTTAACAAAATAGTACTGCAGTATGCAAATGAATTAAGGAGTGCGGGAGGCAAGAAAGAAGCGAGGGAATGGTGATTTACCTCTGGCATCACATTGCCACCACCCAACAATAAGATGTCCATAGGGCAGCAGAAGGAGAGGAAGGTGGAAGAGAGAGGTTAATCTCACCAGTCTGTCCGTGAATTACTATGGGTTCAAGGTGGCTTAATAGTGAAAATGTCAGCGGTTAATATATTAATAAATAATAATGACTGTCTTTCCCATAGCACCACTAGATAAAAGTTCATAGCAAAAAACCCAACAATTTTAAAAAAATCTTAACTTATATCCTAATTTAAGAATATTACAAAGAAACATGGTGTGAAACAAAAGAACAGCATTGAGGGCAGGAGAGGGAACTAGAACTTACTTTATAGGCAGACTTTAGGATTCTCAGCCATTGTAAATCGGCATAGCTCCATTCACCAACTGAGGATCTGGCCCTAGATCTCTGCAGTCATAGATTTTCAGCAGAGCGCATATTGGGGCATCACACTGAAAGGGAACCTGGTGATTTGTGGGATGGGAGGAGGTTAGGCCTTCAGTAAACTGAACAACCATCCAAACAGAGTTTTCAAAATACACCCCAGCCTTATTTTAGCTCTGTGAGAATTTATAAAATGGTCAGCACCGGAATACGAGTGATTTTTTTTTTGTAACTTCGCTCATAAATTCATAAGGGTTTTTAATATGGCCAGAAGGGACCATTGAAATCATCAGTCTGACTTTCTGCACAACAGACGCCATAGGAGTTTCATGTATTTGTTTGTGGAATTCAGCATGTATCCTTGAAGTTAAATTTTTTTAAGCAGGTCACTTCTTTCAAGTACCACAGATTCCAAGAATTGGATGCAGCATGACAAGACTGATCATTGAGCCCTTGGTTAAATGTACATATGAATTAAAAGATCTAGACAATGTTCTAGACAAATGCATATTCTTCATCACATTTTTCTTAAATATTGAAAATTAATTGAATGGCCATGAAAGTGTTTTAGTGGATTAGTTTAAACAATCACATTGCAGGCTGGTGCTCTATCAAGCATCCTCCACACCCCAGGAGTACATCCCAGTCCTGATATGCAGTCACAGTCAAAATGGGGCTTTGTGCCACAATGCTGTCATTTGATTTATATCTATGTATGAATTGTTAGCAAAACCTCTTTTGGAGAAGGCTTTATTGTGTAAAGTTGTAAGAAAATATGGTGCAAGACTTTCTTATCACTTAAATCTAAATTCTAAAAGGAACTCGTAAACCGATTTAAATTTTTTATTAAAGTTTAATGTTTAAAAACAAATTTACACAAGTTAAGGAGGAAGGTACTGTACATCTGGGGTCTGGCTTGGGTTATGAGGGATTACAAGTGTCGGTTACAAGGTTCATAAGATATATACATAGCACATAACCAGCATAGACCCAGATTGGGGTGCAGGAGTTTTTAAAAAGTCAGTGGATAAGTGATCTTGGGTATGCCACCCACAGAATGTAGAGTCTAAGTCTGTATTGGTGTAGTGAATAAGTACATGGGTGGGGTGCGTCCCCTACACTTCACATAGTTACTTTCACTGAGGCACAGATACTGAGGCCAATATTTTCTTTAAGTGTCCACTGACGTTGGATGTCTCCAGTTGTGGGTGCCTAACTTTAAACACTTAAAGTAGGGCCTGATTTTCAGAAGTGCTGGCCACCTGCAACTTCCATTGACTGCAGCTGGAGTTGTGCGTGCTCACACCCTTTGAAAATCAAGCCCTATTGTAGGTGTCTCATGTTGGGCAGCCAAAAAATGGAGATGCCCTGGTGAAAAGTTGGACTTACGTAACTTATCCAAGGTCATATAGAGTCAGTGGTAAAGCTGAGACGCCAGACTCCCAGTCCCCTGCTCAAAATATTAGACCACCCACCCTCCCTGCTGAGATTAGCTGGTACATTAAAATTTGCTTTTGTTTTTCACAGCTACCATATTATTTTTAAAGGTGAAATGTCTGCTCTAGCATCAGTGATGTCTTTTCCATCTTGTCTCTTTCAATCCGATAGACAATGATGAGTGTATTGATGAAAGAGGGATGCTAAAGAACAGTGTCATTCAGAAGCACCAGTACGAACTAGAATACCCCCTGTCCTCAGCAGTCAGACAGAAAGGTGACACTGTGTATGGCTACTGCAAACACGCACCTTTCATCTGTAAATACCATCTCACCAAAAAGGTATTTCTCTGATGCTGCTTTTTGGGTGGAGTTAAATATTGTAATGTTGTCAACACAAGAAATGTGGGGCATGAGCACAGCAGTAAGTAAGCAAAATCTCTTCTACCTATCCCTGACACCTATCAAATTGCATCATTCTCCACTAGCTTAAGGTAAAATAGGTCAACCCTATTTGGAACCTACATGGTGATCACTGCAGTTCTCCACCTCAGAAGTGTGTATCACAGGCATTAGATCAGCACGCCAGAGCAATGACCACAATGTGGCAGCATTCTTAAAATGGTACAAACCTGAAGAATGGCTGACACCTGTACTTCGAATAGCAATTCTTTCTCAAGAGCTAGAACTAGACATTAGGCCTCTGAATCCATGGATGTCTAGGGAATGTGTTGCTCTCTACATTTCCTTCCTGAGCCAATCTGCATAATTTCTGTCTGGCTCAGTCTCAGGTAGTTCTGAATCACTCAATTTCAGATTTCTGCAATATTTATTTGGATCTATAGGACACATGAAAAGGTGCATGTCCAAGTCTCTAGGTGACTTTTCACATATGTTTAAACATACAAACAGCTCCCACCACCCAGAAAATAATCATCCAAAAGTGAAAATTTCACTTCCTCCACAAAAATACCCTACTCCACCCACAAACACCAATCTTCTGAACTTCCCGACCAACCCAAAACCCTGCGGAAAGAGATGGACTCTTATCTAATATGCCTTGAGGGTCAACAGATCTGTGCTATTTCAGACCAAGTGGGAGAGTAAATCCTCACGGAGAAAACCTTGTTGGCAGGCTCTTCCCTTTTAAGCAGAGGGGCTCCAGCTTAGGCACCTCCATTGATTGCAACTCCTAAAACATCTACTATATCCCCTTCTGCAACTAGAGAGGATGAGATAACGTATTATCAGCATAGCAATGATATACCCACCCCCAGGCCCATAACTCTTATAAATAGCAACATATGTGAAAGATAATCCAACAAGCTATTTGTACCTGCCAGCATTATCACTCAGTTTTATATGGCCAGCTGTTGATACTTCCATCATCTCAATTACTGTTTTGTATTTTGTTTGGTTTATAGAAAACCTGGAAAGATGTGTCAGTTACTTTATCAGAGAAGAGGATTCCAAGCAACCAGTTTGCACCAGGGTTCCTCCATTTGTCACCTAACAGCCAGCTGTTGGCATCAGTGGCTAAGGATGGAGTATTGTTTATCCATGATGCTGTTACTTTGGTAGGCATCAGTGCACAGGTCTCATTAAACCTATGTTGATCAGAGCAGTCGGGAGTTACTGCATGGATCAGTGTAATGAAAGCAAATATATAAATTGCTACAGAAAAAGACTTGCTACACTTGAAGAGAAAAGGAAATTGTATTATACAATTGACTAGTCTGATGTTTATTTTTATGATGGATGCTTTTATTTTCAGAGGTTGTGTGTGTGTGTGATCATTTGCCGCTTATTTTCTTCTACAGTAAATCTTCTGGTAGATAATTTTGCTGTGCATCACAGACATCTGAGAAATTAACCTAATGGTTCAGTCCTAGGAGCTTATTCCAAGGCCTGAGTCAAAACTTGGCCCACCTTTTAAAACCACACATTCTAGTAGTTTTTATACTCCTTAATGACATTTTGGATAAAGTTTTATCCTAATACAAAGGAGCATTTTAAACAAGGGAGCCTATTAACAGAATTTAGTGACATATTCCTGTAGAAAAACATATTTGCTCCTGACCTGATATTGTTTCTGTAACTCTTTCAGGAAACAGTTGCTCGGGAGCATTGCCATTCTTACCAAGGACAGGGAATTGGATCCTTGGCATTTTCATTGGATGGCCAGTTCATACTTGTCAATGGCATGGATGATGGTACCCTTGTGTGCCTAAAATGGAAGTATGTATAAGTTTAACTGATTATATTGATAATATGAATACTGGTGCCCAAACACACTAATTTCTGCATGCAGTTAAAAGCTTTAGGCAATATGTTGTATTATGTGGAAGTTAGTTTTATTGTCTTCTGTACAGACAGATAGTATACAACCTAACAGCAGCAATCTGTGATTACCAAACCTGGGCAGTTAATCAGCTGAAATCACTTGACTAAGCTGATCAGCCCAGCTGTGGCTGCAGTTCAAATTTAGGATTATCTTTAGGACTTAGTTATGTAGAGCATCTTAAGGCTAAAATAAAAAACTCAGGGAAGACAGACTTTGATGAATAAAAGTAATTAAAAAGAAAAAATGAAGGAAAATTTCCCCTTTTAAGAAATTATTGGCTTTAGGCCATTTGTAAGCTATTCTGGGGTAAGTATTAGAAAAGTGGTTTCTTTCCCATGGTGGAAACTGCAAACAGATATTGTTGTTTCACAGAAACATATTGATGCTGCTACTTGTCAGTCACACCAGAGAGGCTTTGGATTGAATGGGCTTTGGATATTGACTTCCCTTCCTCTCACCCCTAGAGGTTGTCCCACCAGATCATTAAGAATATAAAATCATTAAGATTATGTACATACACATAGTGACCAGTTCCTCTACATCTTGGATATTCGCATCCCCTACTGCATATTGTCTGTACTTTGTCTGTTGTCTAGACTACAAGATCTCTGGGCAGGAACTGTTGTAATATTTCTGACTAGTACAGCCCTGAATATATTGTTAGAGAATCCTATCTAACCGTGCCATATCCATCCTGAGAACTTCCGTCTCTGGTGCTGTAAATCTGACCCCTTTATCAGCCTTAAAACAAATAAAAATTTAAAGACAGAATAATATAGTTCATTGGTCCTTGGCCTTTCCCATAGTGTGACCCCATATCACAACAGAAAAAAGCTTTGGGATCCCCATTCCATCTAGTTATAAAGAAAGGAAAAGTAGTTGTAACTTATAAAAAAAACTTGATCCCCCCCGCTTGAGAATTTGTGATATAATTGTGTTTACTTAGCTGTTTGCAATAATATGTGGTTGTAACTAAGCTTTAGAAGGAGGCATTCAGAAGCATTGAAAGGTTACAATGGAAAAGTTACTGGCCTAGTCGCTAGGGGGATAGCTGTAGATGTGATATATGCAGATTTATGCTGTATGTTCATAGTAAGACATTTGACATAGTCCCACATGACATTCTCATAAACAAACTAGGGAAATCTGTTTTAGATGAAATTACTATAAGGTGGGTACATTCCTGATTAAAAGACCACACTTAAAGCCTAGTTCGCTGTCAAACTGAGAAGACTTATCTAGTGATATCCCGCAGGGGTCTGTCCTGGGCCTCGTACTAGTCAACATTTTCATTAATGTCTTGAATAAGGGAGTGGGGTGTGTGCTTATAAAACTTGCAGATAACAACAACCTGGGAGGAGCTGCAAGCACTTTGGAGGACAGGATTAGAATTCAAAATGGCCTAAATAAATTGGAGAATTGATCTGAAATCAACAAGATGAAATTCAGTAAAGACAAGTACAAAATACTACACTTCGGAAGGAAAAATTAAAGGAATAAATACAAAATAGGGAATAATTGGCTAGGTGGTAGTAGTGCTGAAAAGGATCTGAGGGTTATAGTGGACCACAAATTGAATACGAGTCCAGCGTGATGCAATTGTGAGAAAGGTTAATATCATTCTGGGGCATATTAACAGGTGTATTGTATGAAAGACCTGGGAAATAATTGTCCCGCTCTACTCAGTGCTGGTGAGGCCTCAGGTGGAGAATTGTGTCCAGTTTTGGGTGCCACACTTTAAGAAAGCTGTGGATAAATTATAAAAAGTCCAACGGAGAGCAAAAAAATGATAAAAAGTTTAAAAAACCTGACCTAGGTGGAAAGGTTAATAAAACTGGATATGTTTAATCCTGAGAAAAGACGACAGAGGGGTGACCTGGTAACAGTCTTCAAATATGTAAAGTGCTGTTATAAAGAGGATGGTGATCAATTGTTCTCTGTGTCCACTGAAGCTAGGACAAGAAGAAATGGGCTTAATCTGCAGCAAGTGAGATTTAGGGTAGATATTAGGAAAAACTTTCTAACTATAAGGATAAGGTTAAGCACTGAAATAGGCTTCCAAGTGAGGTTGTAGAATCCCCATCAATGGAGGGTTTTAAGAACAGGTTAAACACCTGTCAGGATGGTGTAGGTATACTTGGTCTTGCTTCAGCACAGAGGGCTGGCCTACATGTTCTCTGAAGGTCCTTTCCAGCCCTATATTTCTATGATTCTATGATTAAAGATTTAACTTGAAATTCAACGCAACTCAGAGAAGCTGCTCCGTTCACCCTATGGATGCACTTAAGACTTGCATAGAGAGTGGCAGGTATAGTAGCGACACACAGGGATCTCTTTATGCCACTGAATACCATACATGTGGGCTCCCTGCCAGCCAGCCCCAAATAGGCCATTTGGAAGAGGCTCACTGGATCCATACTTATATGGATTCACATAAGTCCCATGTAGCACTGCAGTGGCTCAGCCACAGGGATAAACCACCGTATATCAAGGGAGGTGAAGTCCAGCTGGGGAGCAGAGCACATAGTGTGGAATGGAGTTATGAGGCACCTGGAACTACAACTCCCATGAGGCACCACAGAGGCAAATGCAAGGATTAATGTTGACCCAACTTGAAACAAAACTTTTCAATTTGGAACTGTTAAAACATTTCATTTTGATTGAAAATTTCAAAACGAAATGTTTTGATGTTTCCAAATCATAATTTTTCAGAATTTTTCATGCTGTGAAAAATTTCAGTAGTTTGACCTTTAGTCCCACTTCGGGGTGAAAACGCTGAAATGCCTGTACTGGAATTTCCTGTGGGACAGAAACTCCAAATTTCGATCAGCTTAATATATTGTAATAAAAGGTTTTAAATTCTTCAGCCTTTTCCATAATACACAGAAAAACATGTCAGTTCCTCCTTTTTACCAGTAGGACTGGAGAAGATGAAATTAAGGAAGCTACTGATGATTGGCGACTCATTCTCGCCTTTCTGAACAACTCAATTTACAATGAAAATGCTGTTTTAAAGTCCATGGAGGAGTGGAACATTGCAACAGAGTCCCTACTGGAATCATCCTTGGAAATGGAGTCTCAGGTCTGAAACTTTTTAAAAATTTGAAAAAAAAAAATTATCTTTAAAGGGGTGGGGGAAAAGATCGAGATAATTCTTGAGACGAAATTTGATCCACCATTACAAATGTACAAAGTTTACCGTATCCTGACACCGTGCTCTTCCCCTAGGAGAGTTTCTAGGCGAAAGGGGGAAAATCCTGAGAATAAGTGGTCTTTGTTTAATTATTTTACTTCTGGGATAGAATTCTCATGAAAATAAGAATAGTTTTAGGGACCAAGGTGTTCACATGTCCTCAGATTTCACTAAATCTATTCAAATCTGCCCTAGACAATTGAATTTATTAACGTCAGACTTATTTTTTATTGTGATGATGCAAAACAGTTTTTCCAGGTGTCATCTGTACTATAGTACATATGCACGGTAGCAAGGGTTTGCAGGTTCCGACCCTAACACAGAAGTTGCCAAGGAGATGAGAAGAACATTGTAATATATCTTCTGATGAAGTACTCCTTAAGAATTTACCTGAATTTTTCAATCTGCTATCTTAAATTTTCTCTTGTTTTCTCTGAATATTCATATTTGAGGCAGTTTTTATAAAAAGTGTGAAGTATGAATAAAGGATTGAGTGGAATATGTATTGTCTGAACTAGGCATTTTGGAAATAGATCTGTGTAAATGCCTGGCTTAAAATTTGAATGTCAGGAAATGCTCCAGAAGAAACCAAGTGTGGAAGTGATGGATGAAGATAGCTACCTCAACCTGAACATACTCAGTACTGATGAAATGACCTGGCTCAACCAGAAAGTACAGAAGGTATTTTTACAGAACAGGCACCAACCAGGGACAAAATATTCAGAAATGACGAGTGATTTTAGATGCCTCGCCTTGGGGGCCTAATTTTCAGAGTGGATACTCAGCATTTTCTGGAAATCAGGCCCTGTGAAGGTGTTGAAAGTTGAGCACCCAAAATCACTAATCATTTTTTGAAAATCTTGGCCCAGGATTGTAAATTCTTTGGGGCAGGGACTGTTTCTTTGTGATATGTTTGAATAGTGGTAGCACAATGGGGCGTCTACACATTATTGCCGTAAAAATAATAAAAAAATAAGACTCTTCGACAACTGGAGCCATTGAGCAGCAGGCTGATTATCCTGAAGCCCAGAAAGATTTTCTAAAAATATGACTCAGAAACTTGCACAAATGGATCAGCATCAGAAACCAAGCAAATGTGCTTCCTTCTTCCCATGAGCCATCATACCAAATTTCACTGCATTGTTAAATCAATACTTAGGATTGTGAGGTAAATCTGAAAGACCCTGGAGTTGTTCCAAGCCATTGTTGGAGTAAGACTCCTGTGCAAAGAAAGGACCACATTTTAAAAAGACAGAAATGCCTCGCAGGGCTAAGAAGGGAAGAAAGAAGATGTAGAGCTTTGTGACCTTGGCAACTGCTGATTTTATTGTTAGTACATATATTTTTCAAACACACAAATATGTGGCTGGTGAATGGTCCTCATGTAAGATAGAGCTCTATGTATCATCTGTGCTTTCAGGTGAAGGGTGGGGAGAAAACAAAGGAAATGCCTGACAATGTAAGGAGAGTGGTCACTTTGGATAAGCTATTACCAGCAGGAGAGTGAGTTTGTGGGGGGGGCGCGGGGGGGTGAGAAAACCTGGATTTGTGCTGGAAATGGCCCAACTTGATTATCATACACATTGTAAGGAGAGTGATCACTTTAGATAAGCTATTACCAGCAGGAGAGTGGGGCAGGAGGAGGTATTTTTTCATGCTTTGTGTGTATATAATAAGATCTTCTAAACTTTCCACAGTATGCATCCGATGAAGTGAGCTGTAGCGCACGAAAGCTTATGCTCAAATAAATTGGTTAGTCTCTAAGGTGCCACAAGTCCTCCTTTTCTTTTTGCGAATACAGACTAACACGGCTGTTACTCTGAAACCTGACAAATATCATTGTCTTCCTGGGTGATCTCAGGAAAGCGCACCATTCCTCATAGGGCTGACTGAGGGCTTTCAGACTATGGAGTCCATCTCGCATCAGGATCACACCCATCCAGTTGCCATTAATGGCAATTGGGCTGCGTAAAGTTGTGAATCCACTTTGAAGAAGAGGAAGGAGGGAGCAAATTCCAGAGTCACTGAGGTGCAGAGGAATTGTAAAATTTCCCCTAAGTGATCAATCTGCAAAACTTAGAACCCAACAGGCCACCATAGCTTTCAGAATGGGTATGATCTGTTAATTCACTTCACCTTTTAATTAGTCCAGAGGAAATTTTTTTTTCCCTTTCGAATCCACTAGTACAAGGCTAGGTTACGCTAAAAGGACTTGGTTCTAAAACCTTTGATTATTAGATCAGATAAGATGCTCCTATGCCTTCTGACACCTCAAGCAGCCCAATGTTTTCACCTCTGTATGTCAATTCCCTGTTTCTTGCTGCATCATAATCTGTTTCCATGGCATTGGCATCTTTTTCAATAGTTTTCTCGTGTCTTCTGTTGTCTTCCTCTTTTCCATCTTCTAACAGGTAGTATCCAGACAAGGGCTTGTCTAGGAATAAGTTTTTTTGATATCTTTACAACATCTCCAAACCACTTCAGTCTTCTTTCTCAAATCAGTTTCTCTACAGTCTGTTGACCAGTCCTTTGTAACACTTCAGTGTTGATTATTTTATCCTGCCAGTGGACACCAAGTATTCTCCACAGATATCTCTGATGGAATGTATTAAGCTTCCTGTTGTGAGCTTCTAGCATTTGCCAAGTTTCAGAAGCATACAACAATGTAAGTATCACAAGTGACATCATATAATTTTATCTTGGTTCTTGTGTGAATCTCCTTATTTTTCCAGATATTTGCCGATCTTGAAAAGGCTCCACTTGCCTTTCCACTTCTTGCTTCTACCTCCTTATGGAGTTGCCCACCAGCACTGAATGTGCCTCCAAGATATACATGCTTGTTAACCATGTCTTACTTTTCACGATCAATCACATACCCACCATCATTGCTGCCTCCTCATTCAGCAATCATGACTTTAATTTTCTTCTGGCGGATTTTTAATCCTACTTTGGCAGACTCGCATTTGACATTGATTGTAGTCTTTTTTCATGGCACCGTCACCTGTGTCCAACAGAACAGTGTCATCTGCAAAGTTTAGATCTTGACGTTTTACTCTGTTCCACATAACTCCTGTATCTTCCTTTGATATTGCTATTTTTATTACATAATCTATAACAATGCAGAAAAGAAGAGGTGATAAAATGCAATGTTGCTGTACTTCAGTGACCATATCAAACCAATGGTCTCTCTACCTTCAGTCCTTACACAGTGTTTTGAATCTTCATACAGCATTGTGAGTGGTCACACTGTCTTTCTAGGAAGCCGATATTGTCTCAAGATCTTCCATAGTGACTCTCTGTGAATGCAGTCATAAGCTTTGGTGAAATCTATAAAATTCAAGACTACTCTCTGGTAACCAAGCCCTTTCTCAATCAGTCATCTCAGGATAGAGAGGTGATCTATACATGATCTTTTTGGTTTGAAGCCTGCTTGCTCATTTTGCAATTTTTCATCTATATATTGATTCTGTTCAATAGTACACTGCAGAACACTTTCCCACATACTGAAAGTAGTGTTATTCCTCACCAATTATCGCACACCATTTGTTGGTAATTTACAGATCACACCTTTCTTCCAATCCTCTGGATAGAATTATTTTCTCCCAAACTGTATTAGAAAGTTTATGCATTTCATGTAGTACCACATCCTCCTTAGCTTTAAGCATTTCAGCGGTTGTCTTATCTTGACCAGGTGCTTTGCCATTTTTCAGCCGCCTAATTGCTTCTTTTATTTCTGCTTCTGAAATTTCTAGCAGTGACATATTTAATTCTTTACCTTCTTTGCATTCATCGATTAGTACTGGTGGCTCTGGCTGGTTAAGTATTTCATTAAAATGTTCTCACCATCATTTATTTTGTTTTACTTTCATTGTTAACAATCTTTCATCTTTTGATTTTATAATACCACTGTGACTCTGTAACCGTGATGACAAATAGCCCACACATCTGAAATAGTTTCTTAATCATCGCTCACTGACGCTTCTTCAGCTTCTCTCGCTTTTTCATCAAGCTATTCTTTCTTATCTATCCAACATGACTTTTTTACTTCATCTTTCTTCACATATTCCTGTTGTAATGTACATTGTTCTTCTTGTCATGTTGCCTGTACGTTCCTCTTTTTTAAGGCTTTTCTTTCCTCAGTCAGTTTCCATGTGCCTGATCGTATTCACTCTTCTTTCCTTGATCCTCTTGGTCCGAATGAAGTTGTGGCAGCTTCCCAAAAAACATCTTTGAAGTGAGCCCATTGTTCCTGTATATCATCATTCATTAACCATCACTCCTGAAATCCCGTTATGAGCTGGATTTTAAAAACCTTCCTGATTTCTGGGTCAAACATCTTCTTCACATCAAATACCATCTCTCTTTTCTTCTTGGAATAAAGCTAAAAAGACAGGCTAACTGTTCCGATGAGAACGTAGTGGTAACTTCTTACATCAGCACTTGTAAAAGATTGAATATCTAGCAGCGATCTTCTCTGTGGTCTGCTGATGGCAATGTGATCCAGTTGTTTCTCAGTCATTTCATCATTTGACTTCCATGTTAGTTTGTGTTTTCTATGATGTGGGAAAAGTGTCCCTCAATGCACAGATTATACATGGTGCACAGTTTAATGAATCTTTTGCTGTTGTCTATCCGCTCCTTAATTCCAGGTTTTAAATGTGTAAAATGTTTGTATCCAAAGTTTAGTCATTTCTTTTCTTTTCTTGTTCTCCTCATCTACTTTTTTCCTTCAATCATATATTTATTGCACCCAGGCCATCAAAGAAGAGATCAAGAAGTTTGCTGATAAGAGGAAAGAACTGAAAAAAGGAATTAAAAAGCTCCGTAAAACTGTGAGTGTTTGAGACTGTTCACAAGTTGCTTCCAGGGAAATTGGTTCCACCTGCCACTTTTAGTTTGCTTCCATGGATGCTTTAATAATACCTACCAGGTCTAGGCTCCATTTGCCACAAGCCCTGAGCAAGGCATAGCACATAGGTGCACTGCACTAGGAACATACCAGGAACCAGACTTGAGTTCCCTTTTTACTTCAAAAGGGGAGTAATTTGTGTCAGCTCTATATCTTGTGTAGATTACGTCCCCTAGTATACTGGCCCCTGCATGGCCTCTCACCACCCACATGCAGAGGCTGCTGTCCCCTCCATGTTGCTGTCTGTAAGGCAGAGCCTTACTAGCTGGCCTTTAGTTTGGTTCACTAGTGTACATGTCACTGCCCCTCTGCTCTGCCTGACTTCTCAGGCTGTGAAGAGTTAGGATACTAAAATAGAAATGAATCCTGCAAACAAAGGCCCCATCTGGCAAGTTGATGCCTGCCTCCTCTGAAGTGTTCTGTGCTCTCAACTCCTATTGATGTACATGGGAGTCAAAGACACTGGAAACTCAGCACCTTGCAAACTTGATCCCGAAACAATCACCCTGAATTGTTTTGGCTGTGGGTTGTTCAACATCATAGGCCCTGATTCAGCAAAGAGTCTAAGCAGGTTCCTAACTGTAATGAAACTAAGAGTATATGATATCTGCACTTCAAGCTAGGAGTGAGAGTCCCAGGTTAAGGAGACATACATATGCTAGTTCTGATCAAGGTAGCATGCTAAAAGTAGAATGTAGCCATGGCAGTACAAGCAGCGGGAAGAGGTAGCTGCCCTGAGTACTTACCCACCCGAGACCCTAGCCACATACTTGGGGTGGCTAGTCCTTCCTAACACTTGCACTGCCATGGCTACACTCTGTTTTTAACATGCTAGCTGGATGAGTGGGAGTATTTGTCCTTGAGCTGGGAATCTCACCCCAAGCTCAAAGTGTAGACATACCCTAAAGGCCTGATTCAGGAAAACACTTGAGCACATGCTTAACTTAAAGTTAACTTAAAGCATAACTTTGAGTTCACTGGGACTTAAATACATGCTAACACTAAGTACATATTTAAATGCCTTTTCTGAATAGGGATGCTTCACTGCATCAATGCCTAAGTGCTTTGCTGAAATGGATGGATTTAAGCAGGTGCTTAAAGTTAGGCATGACCTAAAGTGCATTGCTGAATTTGGGTCACAGTCAGTAGTATTTAATTAAATTTTACAGGCCTTGTGATTCAATGATTCAATGATTCAATAAGCTCTGGACTGGGAAATGGGAAATCCAGGCTTTTGTTCCTAGCTCTGCCACTGACCTGTCCTGTGATCGTGGGCAAGTCACTACACACCTGTGGCTTAGCTCCCTGCATGTAAAATGTAGATAATAATATTGATAATTCAGGATCAAGATTTGCAGAAAAGAGTTTCACTTTTAGGATAGGTTAAATTTTGGGTCTGTCACCTTTGACAATGTCTCTTTAAAAATGCCTGCTGTCAAATAGAAGAAATAGATATTTATTATTATTAACATTTATATAAGTGATTTTCACTGTACTAAAAATAAAGCATCTCCCTCTTTAGAAAGTTGGCGAACTCATACTCATGTTATGAAAGGTAGTCAAGTTACATGAATTAAGACAACCATACAAAAATGCAAATAAGCTATTTCTTTTAAGCTTATAGCCAGAATACTGAGCGTGCTGTACAATAAATAATCATGCTGAAAAGGAACTCAGACACTTATTTTCAAATGTCACCTCTAAACCAGCATAAAGAAAGAGGAAGAAAAATATTTATGTATATATAAACCCCCATGTATATACAACCCTCTTCAGCTGAGATTGTGAAATCTACATGAGAGTAGTTAAAAGTTTAATAATTTATAGAACAGCTCTTATCTGATACACAGTCTAATAATGTGCTAGAAAATAGTATTCCTTCTATTCATATTCAGATGAATTCACTTTTGCTCCTTGTACTTTTTAAATAAAATTCAGATTCAGGAAATGATGTATGAAAATGAACAGGCGCCTGATATTGAGAGACTGGACCAGCAGGAATTCAACCTGGACATCGAAGAACAGGAAAGACTGCAGGTGGAGAGTGAACAAGAAGTGGCCAAGGTATGGTAGTATGGCATGAAAATGTTTTAAATGATAGGAATGGAAGGGAGAGAGAATTAGGTAGGAGGAAAGGAGAGAGAGCACGAAAGGAGCAAATCCAAGCAGCAAAGTTTGTAAGGTGTTAAATTAAGTAGCAGCATAAATGTGATTGCCCAACTGTAAATAAATAAATAAATAAATAAATTAGCATTATGAAAGATCTTGAAATGAACGGATCAGGTTGGTTATTTAACCTATCTTGCAGTTAAAAACCAAATTTGTGTAGAGAATATGGTCTGTGCCAAGAACTGCTGAGTTCTAATCCCTGACATTCCCACAGTGACCTTGGGCACATCACTTAACCTCTCTGCCTTTTTCTTCCTTGAAATGTTAGCTTAATATTTGTGGTGTGCTTTGAAGATGCAGAGTGCTACAGTGTTTTTAGTGCTGAGTACTAGTAATGCAGAACGTCTGTGGTGTTTACTTGAGGGACCCATTGAAAATTGCTTTATTTTGCATCCCATCCTTCTTTCTCCCTCTGCTCCCCCTCCCCGCCCCCGAAAAAAATCCCAAAAGATAAGGAAGGAGATTGAGATGGAGAATCTAGCCAAGTGCTATCTGCGTGACGTCATCAAAAAGGAATGCTGGGACTCCATGTCCATAAAAGGTCGTGCAATTAAGGTAACTTCTACTGTCACTTTATTTCATACCTTTCCCCTGTAGTTTGGGACTCATAAAGGTATTGAGGTTAAGTATGCAGGAAGCTTACCACAATTTGGGCTTGCAGAGCATATGGGAAAGAACTTGCTGCTTCCCAAAACACATACAACCAGAGCTGGGTGAATATTTTCAGTTCAGCCAGAAAACCAAAAAATCAAAGAAAAATACTCTGTTTTGAAAATGTTTAGAATTTGTCAACAAAGTCTGTTCTGAGCCAGCTTCAGATAACATGTATGCATACATTTCCCCCTTTTAATCTTTAGCCTAGTAGCTAGAGCACCTGCCTGGGATGTGGGAGACCCAGGTTTGAATCCCCATTCTGTAGCAAGAACTTTAACTCGGAGCTCCCTCCTGCCAGGTGAGTGGGTTATACTGGGGTGGGTTGCTCTCAGTCTCTCCTGTTGAACCTGTTCCACTTTGTATAATTGTTTAAATATTCATTGGGCCTGAGAATGACTGTATAGTCTAGTGATTACACATCTATGAGGCAGGAGATGTGGATTCAAATTGAATCTAGTTATACAGTTCTAATAATGTGCTAGAATATAGTATTTCATCTATTCATATACAGAAACATTTATTTTTGCTCCTTGTTCTGTTTTTAATTTGTATTATATGAATCAACTAATCTATTCACTCATTTTTTCTAAAGGTTGCTCTGAAAAACTTTTTTTCAACTAAAATGATCAGGTACAATTTCCAAATAATTTTGAGTCAACCAAAACTGCATTTTTCAGTGAATAACTATTCATGTGAAAAATTTTACCCAGCTCTCCATAGAAACCCTTAGATATTTTCCCCCCAGAGGTTGCAGAACTGCACAGCTCTGAGTTGGAGGAGCATTGGGTGTTGATTTGCAAACAAGCAACCCTGAAATTCCACTTAGTTACAGAATTCCTTTGTGCAGCTTGCTAGAACAAGGAGCTTCTGAAGTAGATTAGCATTTACCAAGGCTAACTGCTATTATATTTGTATTATTTGTTAAGTACTACTAGAAACACAAAGAAAGGCAAATCCCACCCCAGCTGAGCCTATAAATTAAACAGAAGGACAATGACTGGACAAATAAATGGAAGATCTCAGAAGATCCCGAGGATAGGGCAAACCTAAGCCTCAATCCTGCACTCTAATTCCAGTAAAACTCCCTGAGTAAGGAGCACAGGGTCAGGTTCTTGAGGGGTTTTATATATATATATTTTTTTAAAACATTTTAAATCAATTTTTTTTAACTTCTAAAGACCCTCCAATATTTTATATTGCTCATGATTACTCCTCGGTGTTATTCATAGCAATAAAGCCGAGTCACTGTAACTGTTTACCAACTTGGAGTACAGCTGAACTGAATGCTGTTTTAACTGGGGAAATTTTATTCTAGTCTTTTTATCTCATTTTACAAGTGCTTCCATGCAGCCTATGAGGTGAAAAATTACCCAATGAAAGAACGTAGTAAAGAAGAGTTGGAAGCTTTGGAAAGGGTCCTGCAGTTAAAGAAGTTCGAGTCAGCTGATTTTAAGGTACAATCTCACTCCTCCCAATTCCCCAAAAAAGTAGGAAGAGATGTTAACTCCAGGCCTTCTTCAAGAACGTCTTAGCTGTGCTTAAACAGGTAGGCGTTTGTTTCTAAGCTCCATTAGTATCCCAGATAAAACTTAAAGAAGAAACTAAAACAAATGGCATTGGTTATTTTAGTACAAAAATATATTCAATTTTAAGCATTTTGTCTACATCCTAGAACTAGGGGTTAATTGTAGAATTGGACCTCTTGAACTGTTTACTTTTTGGAATCCTATTAGCTATAAATGGAAGGACTAAGGGGCCTTTTCTACACAAATGATTCTGAGATAATGTATATAGTTGATCGACCTGCTGTGTTTTTGGATATTCAGATTCGGAAGGAGATTGTTGAGTTTCAGCCTCAGGCTGTACCACCTAAGGAGGAAGGGGAGAAGGTGGAAGAAGAACCTGTGACTGATGAGGCCCCCTCCAGTTCCCTGATTGGGAGCCTGAGTGCTCAGTTTGGGGGAGACACATCCATCTTATACCACCAAATGGACCTGCACACCAGGGAGCAGAAGATTAACCAGATCATATTACTGCAGGTGACCTCTTCATACATTTGTGTTTCTGCATTGATACCACCACATGTGCAGGTTCTCAGCCAATCAGAGTTGCTGTTAGATACTCTCTCAGCAATGTACTTTTCTGCTGAATGAAAGAAAGTTTTCCTTTTCCTCCCAGCTCGTTACTCCACCCTTGTTTAAATCCCTAGATATCTCTGTTATTTAAGAACTCCTTACTAGATGCCTAAAAAGTCACAATCCCACAACTGAGGAAGAAGGCTTTGCTGGTTATGGTTTAGACGGGAAGTGAAGGTAGCTATAAAAAATTAAAATAGAATATATAACAAATGGAAGAAAGGGGAAGTTAATAGAAATGAATATAAATTATATGCTAGCAATTGTAGAACATTGATAAGGGGAAACAAAGAGACACAAGTCGAAATCTATGGCCAGCAGAGTTAAGGACAATGAGAAGGAGTTTTTAAAATATATTAGGAACAAAAAGATCCTGACAATGAATTATATTGTTACCTTACTAGATGGAAATGGTAGAATTATCAATAATGATGCAAAAATATAGAAATGTGCAATAAATATTTCTGTTGTGTATTTGGGGAAAAACAGATTATATAGTCTCATCACATGGTGATAACACTCTTTCCATTCCACTAGTACAGGCGAGTCGCATCTTACGCGGGGGTTAGGTTCTAAAGTCAGCGCCAGAGGCGAAAATCGCGTATAGTCAAAATTACCCTTGAAAATCCCTTAAATCGCCCATAAAGTACAGTATAGTATACTGTACATGGTTTTGTGTATACTGTACAACCCTGTACAGCAGGGGTCGGCAACCTGCGGCACACATGCCAAAGGTGGCATGCAAGCTGATCTTTGGCGGCACTCTGCTGCCAGCCAGGGTCCTGGCTGCCGGCCCCGCTCAGCCTGCTGCCAGCCTGGATGAACGGAACCCCGGGCTGGCAGTGGGCTGAGTGGGCCAGCGGCCGGGACCCCAGCTGGCAGGGGCCAGCAGACAGAACCCCAGACCGGTAGCAGAGGGTCCCGGCTGCCAGGCCTGCTCAGCCCGCTGCCAGCCTGGATGAATGGAACTCAGGGCCAGCAATGGTCTGAGCAGTCCTGGCTGCCGGCGCCGCTCAGCCCACTGCCAGTCTGGGGTTCCGGCCGCCAGCCCAGGTAAATGTAAAATGTATTATTGGCACACCAAACCTTAAATTAATGAAGACTTGGCATGCCACTTCTCAAAGGTTGCCAACCCTTGCACTAGAATCCACTCAGCGTGGCAAGATGCTCACACTATGTCTACACTACCCACCGGATCAGTGGGCAGTGATCGATCCAGTGGGGATCGATTTATCGCATCTAGTCTAGACGTGATAAATCGACTCCTGAGTGCTCTCCCGTCTACTCCTGTACTCCACTGCTGAGAGAGGCATGCGGGAACTGAGACCAAAAGAGGGAACAGCAGATTCACGTCTCCCATCTCACGCTCGCTCTGGGGCATATGCTCATTGAGTGGAATGGTGGGCGGAATCATTCTTTTTTCTTTTTTTTTCTTTTTTTTTTGCCAAGCACGTTGAATTCGCATAAGTTAAATGCGCATATGATGCGACTTGCCTGTATCTCTCAGAAGCTACTAAAGTTAGGCATTTTAAGATCAGCAGGTCCAGATAATTTGCATCCACGAGTTTTAAAAAAGCTGGCTGAGGAGCATGCTGGGCCATTAATGATTCTTTTCAACCAGTCTTGGAGCACCAGGGAAGTTCAAGAAGACTGGAAGGAAGCTAGTGTGTGAAGTTTTTAAAAAGGATAAACAGGATGACCTGGGAAATTATAGTCCTGTCAGCCTGACATCAATCCTGGGCAAGATAATGGAGTGGCTAATATGGGACTCGATTAATAAAAAATTAAAGGAGGGTAATGTAATTAACCCAAATCAACATGGGTTTATAGATGACAGATCCTGTCAAACTTGCTTTTTTTTTTTTAAATGAAATTACAAGTTTGGTTGATAAAGGCAATCGTGTGCATGTAATATACTTAGATTTCTATAAGGCTTTTGACTTGGTAGCACGTGACATTTTGTTTAGAAAACTTTAGCTGATAGGTCTCAAAATGTAATTGTAAAGGGGAAATTATCAGATGTTTTTCCGGTGGAGCCCCACAGGGGTCAGTTCTTGGCCCTATCCTATGTAACATTTTTATCAATGACCTGGAAGAAAACATAAAATCAGTGATAAAGTTGCAGATGACACAAATCTTGGGGGAGTGGTAAATAATAAAGAGTTATGGGTCATTGATTCAGGTTGATCTGGATCTCTTTGTAAACTGGGTGCAAGCAAACATGCATTTTAATATAGCTAAATGTATATACATATATAAGAACGAAGAATGCAGGCCATACTTGTAGGATGCAGGACTCCATCCTGGGAAATAGTGACTCTGAAAAAGATTTGAAAGTTGTGGTGGATAATCAGCTGAACATGAGCTCCCAATGTGATGCAGTGGCCAAAAAAGCACATGGGATCCTGCAATGCATAAACAGGAATCTCAAGTAGAAGTAGAAAGGCTATTTTATCTGTTTGTGGCACTGGTGCAACTGCTGCTGGAATACTGTGTCCAATTCTGGTGCCCTTAATTCAAGAAGGATGTTGATAAATTAGAGAGGGGTCAGGGAAGAGCCATGACCCGACCCTCCTCAGTTCTTTCTCAGCTATCATCGGCCTGAGATGAATCTCCCAGCAGTGTGATAGCTGATATCTTTATTTACTGTGTAGAATAGTTAGAGCAATTGTTTGTTTACTAGTTAGCATTGCCAGCAGATCAAGGGAAGTGATTATTCCCCTCTATTCAGCACTGGTGAGGCCACATCTGGAGTATTGCGTCCAGTTTTGGGCCCCCCACTACAGAAAGGATGTGGACAAATTGGAGAGAGTCCAGCGGAGGGCAACGAAAATGATCAGGAGGCTGGGGCACATGTCTTACGAGGAGAGGCTGAGGGAACTGGACTTGTTTAATCTGCGGAAGAGAAGAGTGAGGGGGGGATTTGATAGCAGCCTTCAATTACCTGAAGGGGGTTCCAAAGAGGATGGAGCTCGGCTGTTCTCAGTGGTGGCAGATGACAGAACAAGGAGCAATAATCTCAAGTTGCAGTGGGGGAGGTCTAGGTTGGATATTAGGAAACACTGTTTCACTAGGAGGGTGGTGAAGCACTGGAATGCGTTACCTAGGGCGGTAGTGGAATCTCTATCCTTAGAGGTTTTTAAGGCCCGGTTTGATAAAGCCCTGGCTGCGATGATTTCGTTGGTGTTGATCCTGCTTGAAGCTGGATGGTCTCCTGAGGTCTCTTCCAACCCTGGTCTTCTATGATTCTATACTTACCCTTTTTCTTCCTCCATTATATTTCTCGAAAAAAATTTCATGTATTTCTTACCCTTACCATAGTTTGTGCTCACACGCAGGGCTGAACTGTCATAGTTCAAACCATTTTCGATTCACCGGGCTTCAAGTGCTGCTTTTCTTGCCAGGAACCAATCCCAGTATTGGACGGTCACTTTCTATGTGTGCGATGCTTAGGTGAGACACACATCCCACAAAAGTGTTCTCACTACAGCAATGTAAAGGCTCACCAGGAAGGACAGAGACCTGCATCTAAAACTTATCCTTATGGCAAAGATTCTGCGCCCGGCATCTGATCCCAGCCAGCAGATGCTCTCTGGACAGAATTCTCCAGAGACTTCACCCTCCTCTCAGAGGAAGGCTCATTCCTCAAAAAGAGTAACAAGGAAAAGAGCAGCAACTTCTCCTTGGAAAGTGCCACTGAAAAAGAAGCAGTCTCTGGCTCATTCTTTATCCTCAGTACTGACCGCACCACAGCTGAGTACTTATGAAGCACCAGGATCCTCTGGTACTGCCCGTGCTGTGACATCTGACAAATCCAAGCCTGCAGACTCTGAGTCAAGAGGCAAACAAAAGCTCATCTCCTCCGTTGCAGTATCAATGGAACTGCCAAAAGACGCAGCACCGAGACTCTCCCCCGGGCACCACCACCTGTTCCGACAACGCAGAGCACACAGGTGTCCAGCGTCTGCAGCTGCAACAGCACTGTCGGAACTGAACACTTCAGTGCCAAAACTGTCAGCACCATGCCATTTTCTGCAACACAAGGACTTCCTTATATCATCAGCACCTGAATCCCTGCCTCTTTGGCATTGACATATCCCCGGTATGCACGGTCCCAGGCCAAGCTGCTTCACCACTTGCCCCTCCATTTTCCTGCAAGGAGGAGGATAATGAGCAGCAGGGTGTTTTCTCATCGCACCACTCCTCTCCTGTCCAACCTACCGCAATAGGGTCACCTGTATGGCCAAGACCTCATCCCAGACCTGACATCCAGACCTGGTATGGACACCTGTGGATCCCTCCACCTGGGCCGTTCCCAACACCCTGGCCTTATTGGGACCCCTGGGCTGCATACAGGAGGCAATATCCCAAGCCCCTACAGGGAAAGAATTAGTTCTCCTCCACCATCCTCTGTGGGTGCATCATTAGAGCCCATTGAGGGAAAGCTTTGAGGAACAAGAGGAAGCCCTGGAACAGGACAGGACAGGACACCACCTGCCGGTATTTCCTCCTCTTCCCCAGTCGAGGCCATAATGCTCCACCACCCACAGGTGCGGACGATTTCAAACACTTTCAAGAACCCTTCAGGAGAGTTGCAGATGGCCTAGAGATCCCTCTAGAGGAGGTCCCAGAGTCCCAACATAAGTTGCTAGACATTCTGCAAACCTTGTTGGCTTCAAAAATAGCACTTCCAATAAACGATGCACTCATGGAACTAGCCAAAACCATATGACACGCCCTGGCAACAATGCTGCCTACCTGCAAGAGAGCTGATAAAAAGTATTTTGTCCCCTCAAAAGGGATGGACATTTTATTTTCCCACCCAGCACCAAACTCTCCAGTTGTCAACCACTCAAGCAGCAATAACATTATAGATTCACCCCATATGACAAGGAGTGGAAACA